GTGAAGTCTTTTTAACAAACCCAAGTGTTCCCAGTGAATCCAATAGAGGGCGCCAAAGCGTTTGTCATGTCTTGGCCTGTTGATGATGTCCTCTGTACGTTGTCTTTGTGCTCCTGCTGCAAAACAATTTCCCCTATCGGTACTATAAAATACCTGAATCTGAGTGTAGCACATTTTTATGTAATGTTGAGTCTTGTACAGTGTAATTTGAAAGGTCTAAAAATACCAACATGTTGCCAGAGTGTCAAAAGTAAAAAAAAAAAAAAAAGAAAAAAAAAGCATGTTGTGGAGCCTGAAATGCTTGCATGTTAACTTATTATTAATTATTAATGTTAATTCATTAATAATTTAGCAGGGCATGCCCACATATGCAGCATGCAGGTGGAGATAATTAAAACTGAATTATTAAGTTACAGGTTAGTTTTGTCTATATCAGTTCGGACATGGATACGCAGAGTTATGATGGACTGCCCAATCTTTTTAGATGTAGCCTAATTGTAACAGTTCAATAAAGTGAATATAGTGAAGGAAAAAAAGTAAATTAATCTCTAAACTGTTTAGTAGAAAATAAAAGGTGCATAAAATAAGTTCAAGAAAAAGATAACAACTTGGCACAGTTCCTTTAACTGCTCTTGGATACTTTAAAAAAAGTGTTTTGAATGCGGACTGCAGTTTCTTCAAGGTTTATTTGTAGACTGCTTTAATCCTTTAGTCTCCATGTTGGAATCTGGAACTTGGCAGAAGTTTTGTGAAAAGCAGATTGGCTTTGCACTCAAAAGAATACAGTATTCATAACTCCCTCAGCAGCCAAATTTCTTTGGGCTTTATCCTGCATTAACCCGGGCGTTGCATAATCTTTGTCACTCAAACAGTGCTCTGAGACATGAGGATGTTTTGGGGAAAAGCAGCAGAACTATGACTGGTATCTGAGTGGTATGTGAGGAAACAGCAGGCCTGTTGTTGCTTGTAGCAAAGAAAGATTTCCCAGCAAGAAAAGTTACTCACTGTTTACCATTTAAAGTGTTCTGGATAGAAGACACTTTGTGTAATGCACTCCACTTCTGCCCTATTTAACTTAAATTCACTCATTTAAATAGAGTAACAGGGTTAGGGAATGAATAATATTTCTTCTGAATAATATTTAATATTAAGAAATGGTATTTCTATCTCAGAATACATCATTTCAAGGATTAAATTCCAACTCAGTGGTTTGTTGGTAAGGATAAAGCAGCACAGATAGTTCCAGTCCAATAATTCACTCAGTTCAAAACTAATGAGGTGATGATGCATCCACATGCTGCAGCTAGCTCCACTGTTCTAAGAGAGATGACACAGGTGAGCTGGCAGCCTTTATTGGTTCTGAAGCCTTGCCCATGCAGGTTACAGAGTCAGGAGAGTCAGGGAAGGAGGGGGGTTTTCTAAAGCGTTTATGATTTTTATCCATAATTTCTGGTACCCAGAGACACTTGTTGAAAAGGGACTTTACTTCTCTCAAGGATTTGTCAATGCAGCTGGTCAAGGGAAGCAAATACTTAAGTAACTTTCAACCTTTGGGGTTCTTTTAAAGGTCACATATTCCTTTTCAACATGTTTAAATGAGTCACAGAGCTCTCCAGAACAAGTCTATGAAGTTTCTTTCTAAAAATTAATTAATTTTAATCCTGCTCACAACGGACTGTTTCTGTGTCTGTAGCTTTAAATGCAAGTGAGCTGTGACTGACCACGCCCCCTCTCTGGAAGGGGATGTGGCTTGGGCTTTCTTGCACCATGCCCTATTGTTAACAGTGGAAAGGCATACTCAGAGGGCAGAACAAACGCCTAGCTGTGGAGTGGCACCCACCTGGGGGAGGGGTTACTGCCCTTTGTGATGTCATGAAGGGAAAATCTCTAAACAGCCTGTTTGAGCACACATTTTCTGAAAAGTGAAGCAAAAAAAAGACGGAGAGTTTGGACGGTTCACGTTATTGGAGGGTTTGTAGGGGGGTTAGAGACACATTAGAGTTAGAGTTAATATGTTAACTGAAAGAGATATCTGCTATAATTAGTTTTTAAAAAATGTGATTCAACAAAAATAGGAAATGTAAAGAATTCCCAATCCTCTTTGATTTTGTGTAATCATTCATAAGATCTAAATTGACAACAATGGCAAAGTTGTCATTGATACACTTAAAAAAACTATTATCATTTAAGGTTTTGCTTTTTAAATATTTAGATATAGACCAGAATAAAAGATTAACTGACACGTTCTCTTGTCTCATCAGAAGGGGCGAGGCATTCACGGGGAAAAAAGGATAATGGGAGACTGAATCGTCACACCAGAAGCTGCTCCAACTAACATCCAATGGAAAGCATCACTTCATGTGATGCTTCGGGCCCCCTAGCCCCTCACCAGATATGAACATGGGGGAAAGAGTTGACAATGACCAGATAAAGATGTGCAAAAGAGTGAAATGTAAACAAAGACAAAAACACTTGTTTTCTTGCTTTTTTTCTCCCTCTAAAGACCACACTCTGTTTTACTGAATGTTTCCCTGACCCTTGTGCACATTTTGTTAGCGGTGGTCCTTTCCCCGGAAGCTCCCACCCACGCACCCCATCTGATGCTGCATTAAAGCTCACTCATCCTGATGCTGACAGAGCGCTGAGGGTAAGCCAGGCCTGAAAGGGAAGTGCTGAGAGCCACAAGGGCCTCAACGCACCGGTGATTGCAGTGCTATTATCCTGCCAAGGCTAAGCTGCACATGAAAAGAAAAGAAGAAAAACTTCATCTGTCCAATTCAGTGGAACCAAAATGCTCAAACTCAATGTCAACTATGTAGACAGGCAGCGAGCCAACTCTGCTGTTCAGCCTTCTTCATGTTTACCTTGTGTTTAAATGGTGTCACATTAAAATACAGTTAACAAAGGCTTTTAGCAGAAGTGATTCTAGACATAAAGTGTCAGGAAATTTCCAGTCTGTATTAATACTACTTATAAAATCTGATTAGTGTCTTGAGGTTTGAAGGTGTTTCTTGGGGAAATGTCCCCTCCCTGTTCATTCACACATACTTTGTGGGGAGGGGGGTTTAAGAATTTTTTTTTATTGTTCTGGCTGCAGGTGCAAAGGCCAGGTAATAAAGAGGCATGCTTTAAATGCTGTGTTTTCAGTCAACAAAGTGCTAACCAGCCACACACAAGATAGCTTGAGCTGGTGTTAAGGTGTAGGCCTAACCTACCCTGCTGTGACATCAGCAGTGCAGATTGCATGGCAGGCTTGTCAAACCGGTGTTGGAGCAAGCAAGGGAGGTGACACAGATCAGACCGCCAGGAGAAACCCACCTGTGCTGCCGCCTTTAGGTGTGTACTCCTTCCTTACAATCGGTTTTCAACAATCTGAAACTTAACTCTTCACAAAAATTGCGCACATGGAAAGCTGCAGCGACTTTAGATGAAACGGATCATCAACAGAAACGAGGAAAGAGAAGACCTGACTGCGTGGAAACGAAGATATCCTACAATTTAGAGAGGATGGAAACGAATGGCATCGAAAAGAAAACAGGTAAGACACTTTAACGGGACTAAAAATTAAGTGCGTTTTGCAGTCGTCTGGATTACTGAACAATGGATAATCAGCTCACGGCATTGTGCAAATTAAAGTGGGAGAATAATTACATTCCCTACCTGTTGTCTTCATTTACAGAGGTTATTTATGTATTCTGTTGAGCGACGTGTGTTTGGGTAAGATGTCCTGAATACATTTCTTGGATTACTCTGCCAAAAGGTGTGGTCCCTTCCATCCACAGGCAAGTTTCACCTGGCTGCAATCACAAACAACTGCTGCCAAACCAAAACAGTCGACAGCCCCACCTAATGCAGATATTAAAACTAACTATTCAACAATGTTGAAACATTAAAACTTTCTCGTTTTATAAGAATTGGAGGATATGTTCGTTCACATGTTTGCATGTAATCCTTAGTAAACCTGGTCAAGTTTATTCAAATCACAGCAGCTGGCAGTACTGAGAAGTCACCGCTAGATGGAGCCCGTGAGTCAATATTTCCAGGAATCAACACGAATGAAGGTGTAGCATTATCTGACTAGTCAATATTGTTTTTCCATTCATTTAGAAATGGAATAAGTTCGCATTAACAAACATCACTTTGCCTGGAAACTGCGTGCGTAATGTAGTGTAATCTTGTGTCAATTATGCTACGAAGAAGATGTGCGGTGTCTCTGTTACAAGATTTGTTCCAGCAAAAAGTTGATGTGCCATAGGCTACATGAATTATTAAAAATAGGCTAGCTTAACATGTGATGACGATTTTCGGGCACTTATTCTGTCCCGAGTTTCCGAGTTGTTGTTCCGACTTGAGCAGGTGTTCATGCGCATTTTACAACTCGAAAACTCATATTTCTGACGTGTCCAACACGTACATGAATGCACCACAAAAGATACCGCGGCTATTAAATACTGGCTGCATTCAAGTGCTCCTCGGATGCTCGGAGTTTCTAGATGGAGAAGTGATTCTTCTGTGTTCAAAAGTCATTAAAGTACACTCATGGATTTAAAGATTACATTAATTGTATTTACAGTTCAAAACTAAACTATGTGAAGCACAACTAAATGTTAAAGTCTTACATTACAAAAAAATAACAAATTAGCCCCCCAAAAAAGCATATAGCCTATAATATGCAATGTGCAGTGTAATGGAAGTTGATACATTTTTGACAATCATGCCATCATTTACGTTCGTTACTTTCGTTAGACTACACCAGAATCCCCTCAACTTGATGGAGCTTTTGCTTGAATTTCCCCACGAGGAACACATTTTTCAGATTATTTCAACACCACATGAACGCGAGGTAACGGTTTCCGTAAACCTGTCAACTATGTCCCCTGAAGTGTCATGTGCAGCCTAATGCTTCAAAACAATAACAAGTTTACACATGTGATAGAAGTTGTGTACCACCTCACCTCCCCCTGCCGAGACATGCACTCATGTTTAGTTGTCAAAAGAGTTTTACGTGTCAGGCAAATCAGCTGACAGAGGAGAAGTGAACTTTGAGTGGGGATGGTTCACGCCCTTCCTCACACACCGTGCTCGGACCTGACAGCTGTGTGAACTCACATCGGCACCGTAGCCTGTCTGTACCTCTGGGCACCATGCATTGCCTGCAAAGAGAACCTGAACTCAGCAGATCTGAGGAATTCAAGCGCCATGCCAACAGCGAGAAGGTGATTCAAACGAACCTAAAGATCCTAGGTAGGCTGCATTGCACTTATTTGAACAGATTCTTGTAACAGATGTTACCGAGGGGTTAAAACGGTCAAATGTCTTTTCTGCACAATGTGGATCTTTAAAGGGATTTAAATGTGTGATATTTTGTATCTAAAATCTGTGATTTTTGTCATTCTCTTCCCATTTTGAAAACTGAATTGCCCTTCTGGGATAAATAAAGTTGTCTGACTCTGATTCTGAATCTGAATTTTCTATCCTGATGAGATACATGCATTGGACATGGTCAAAGGTTTCAGTCATCCACCATATGGTTCCTGTGAAATTGGAGTAAATGCAGATACTTGGTGTTTAAACGGTCAAATTGTTTCACTGCGCTCCTCTGTTTCCCAGGCATGGAGGGAGATCGGGAACTCCAGTTCCTGCTGCAGGGGGGAGACCTCCTCAAGGTCCGTTCGTCATCCTGGAAGAAGACTCGCTTTTACAGACTCAAGGAGGACTTCAACACCATGTGGCACGAGTCGAAGAAAACCTTCAGGAGAAAGCAGACCTGTGAGTGCTGTCCGAGCAAACCACCCGAATGTGTGTGAGACCCCCCGCCGCCCCCCACAGAAAAAAACAACTCATGTACACATCTGTCAGTATACTGTGGTGGACATGCATCTCATGCCTTCTCTTTACATGGCTTTAAACTCTGACTTAAAATCTCATTTTTGTTTCTGAACTCGTGGCACTAAAGTTGTCTGGTATAACTTTGGATGTGTATCCTTCCTGGATTATAAAAGTGAATCATAGTCATAAAACAAGAGGCCGTCTGAAAGTCCTTTTTACGATCACATTATTGTTCTTGATAGCAGGGATCTGTGTTCTGGGCGTGTTTTTTCAGATAGTGATTTTATTTTAGTGTCTGGACGAGTGGTGTCACATAAACTGTTCTCCTTCAGTCAAGTTAAAGAACTATAGTATGCTTTATCTTTATTTTTTGCACCATATGTTAGATTTAGCAACCCTTAAGAGGCAATATTAATGATATTAATAATAATAATAATTAACCCAATTTATACAGGACGAGTAGTTTAAAGTGCTTTGAAATAAACAGAAAACAGAAGACTTGAAATAAACCTGCAAAGTAAAAGAAGTGCAGATACTACAGGCTAAAACTAAGAACTCAAATGAATAAAACACAAATGAGGCACCAAGAAAAGCCAGAATAAGAAAATACAAGGAGCAGTATAATATAGAAAATGCCCTGAACTCATTTTGTCTCCATCATGGACAACACCCACCACCCTCTGCACAGCACCTTCACCAGGCTGAGGAGTGTGTTCAGTGGCACACTGCTGTCACAATCCTGTTCCACAGACAGACTTAAGAACTCTTTTGTCCTCCTGGCCATACGTCTGTACAACACCTCACGTTTATGGCAGGGGGAAAACACACACTTGGACTAAATCTTCCTTTTTCCATTTTCCCATCTGCACAGCTGTCCCAAGAGTCAGCCTCTAATGCTAACCTCACAATCCTTCAAATCGCACCTTTAATGTTTGCACTGCCTGTTATTTAATGTCTATTTTTTTGATAATTTTGCACTATCTTCTTTTTAAACATTGCTGTACATATATAAACAACACAACTTCAGAAGGTCAACACTTTTTATTTTTTATATTCAGGTCTTATTACAGATTTATTTATTTTTATAGGTTCCTTTTTAACTGCACATATATTTTTATCCCTGCACGGGTTATGTACATTTCTTGTATAAATCTATTTTTAATTGCACAGGTTTAAGTTTGATTCGTCTAGGGGTATTCTTTAAATCTTTTTTTCAGGTTAATATATATGTCGGTTTTGTGGTTTAATTTGTAACAAATGTTTCATGTCATGTACGTCTTTGTAACCTGCTACTGGATGCTTTGAATTTCCCTCGGGATCAATAAAGTATCTATCTATCTATCTATCTATCTATCTATCTAGAACTTGTAATGTGACTGATGTAATCTGTAAACAGTAGGTTTATGTTTACAAAGCAGACAGGTCTGTGTCCCCTGAAGATACTAAAGTTATCTATTATGCTTTTGTTTCAGCAGACCGAGCTTTATTTCCTTCGCTTATTGATGTAATAAAAGTGTTAAATACCATTTCTTCTCCTGTCCTCAGTTTCCCTCGGTGACATCTCGGCGGTGCGGTTGGGGCGACAGTCAGAGGGCCTGAGGAAGAACACAGAGGAGCACGTGGAGGACCGCTGCTTCTCCATCGCCTTCAAGGGCCATCGTAAAAACCTTGACCTGATGGCCAGCTCCGAGGAGGAGGCCAAGATGTGGGTCAAGAGCCTGGATAAAATGTTGTTGAGCCTGAACAACCTCAGCCACCAGCAGAAGACGGAGCAGTATCCTTAACATTGCAGGAGAGGTAACACCGGGTTAGACGGGGTTAGGATTCAGCCGGCTGACTGTTTCACCGATTTTAAAGCACAGAAGCAAAAAAGGAGGGGTGTAAGAAGATACTTGAGACATTTTATAATTGCAGTATAATACTTTACGATTCAGTTTGCTTTCACAAAACAATGTATACGTTTTTTTATGATAGTTAATGCAAGTTTTTTCATTAAGGAAAATGTTGATGTCCTTGCTCAGTCTACTGCAAAGATTTTCCATTTATCAGTTTGTGATAATTACAAATGAAATTCCATTGGTCTGTTTGCATGACTGAACGTGTTGTATCACGTAACACATTGTTTTGGCTGATCTTGCCAAATCACATCCGTTCATCATCATATCTGCTCCTTACATCAAAAACCTTCCAGCTGGATCTACAGCTGCATGAGGAAAGCAGACAAGAACAACGACGATAAGCTGAGTGAGTCGGAGCTCAAGGATTTCTTGCGTCTGATCAACATCGAGGTGGATGACGACTACGCAGAGGAGCTCTTCAAGGTGATTCTTTATTTTTCAAATCATGAGTCGATGTGCTCACTATCAAAAGATCCAGTTTTGAATATGAGATGTTTTCACCTGACCCTCCGCCCTCTTATTAGTAATAATACATCTTATTAATACAAAGCTGAGGTCATAATGATGGAGACCAACTCTGGTGTGGATCTGTCCGTCATACAGCAATGTGACAGTTCTAAATCTGGGTACCTGTCCGGAGAGGAGATCGAACATTTCTACGACCTGCTGACGCGTCGCGAGGAGATCGGCGTGATCTACGGGGAGTACGCTAAAACGAAAGGCTACATGAGTCCTGACAACCTGGTGGACTTCCTGATGAAGGAGCAGAGAGAGAAAGCCACGCTTGCTGACGCACACAGCATCATCGAGAAGTACGAGCCCGATGAAAAGGGTCAGTGTCTTTGAGAAATAACGCCTTTTTTATTTCACCTCTTAAATTCTCTCGCTTCTCTCTTTAAGCTTTTCATCACACTCGGCATATTCATTTACATTTTATTCACTGTTGTTTTTGTGTTAAAATGGTGATGTAAATTACTTTTTCTAAGTTTCTAGTTTTTTAGATATTTACTGGTTAAGAAGTGAGCCTTCTTTAAGACACTGACTCAGTCCAAAGAGATTTGAACCACAGTGCAGAAACACGAGCTCACCTTATCCAGAATAGGGTTGTCTCAACACCAGAATCTTTAACTTTGATGTGATACTTGTAAAAATCAATCGCTTTTAAGGTGTAAAGATTCACATCGGTACTCTGAAAAATGAATCGCAATAATATGGTGAATGTCAGCGGCTTTAGAGCAGAGGCGATTGGCAGCTGCAGAGCAAGATTTTGAAATCGAGGACGCAACGCAGTCTTTGAAGCATTTTGGCTTCCTCAAAATTAAAGAGGTGAGAAGAAAACAGACAAGACAAAAACTGTGTGCAAATACTGTAAGAAGACAGGGAACAACACAAATAACACAACAAACATGATGCAACATTTAATCCACAGCACAACAAGAAGCTCCAATCACTTCCCCTTGTTGCCAGAATAAAAACATTAAAAGGCCAAACCACACTGACAAGAGGGTCTGCAGCCCCTAAAGGAATCTTTTTCACTCATCATTTGTCTACAGTCTCATTTTATAAAGACAATCGTATCGTGAATCCATTATCGTAACGTATCGCGTTGAGTGAATCGTTACATCCCTAAACGATATTGATACTTGTTTGGATGCAAGACAAGTAGAAGTCCTAGTCACCTAACATCGGGTCATCAGAATCAAAATATTTCCCAGGTATTTGTGCTGTTTAAACAGTGTGTAGGAGTTAACCTGCATGTTATGGTCATGAACAACAAGACTCAAAGGGTGTTTAGGACTTCTATTGTTATTGCCGTGTTATCAGAACAGGTATGGACGTTGTTTGACTTTTAATAGTGTCGTATCTAAGTTTGAAAGTGTGGTATCATGACAACCTCATCAATGGTTTAAAATGCACAGTTCAGATCCAAAGCGTTTCCAACGTGATGTAAAATCTTAACACAGTGGTCTGGATTTTCAGCAGGGAAAGTGTTCTGGTTTCAGTTTGTAGTACATTTAGAGTCCATGCTTTATTGACTAATTATGTATCAGCAGGCTTTCTATTGGACGATTATTGGCGATGATTGCCGATGTGTTCCTAGAATGGGGCTGAAACCAACTTGTATGTTTCAGTCCGTCCATGATGTAGCTGCCACAAAGCCATACTTTCTTGTAACACTATGGAAAAAAAAATTGCAGAAATCCCATGTTGAATAAAAGAGAAAACACTTGGTCAATAAAAGCACTTTGATAAAACAGCGATAAAACTCTATCAGTTGGACTTGGAAGTTGTAAAGTGGAACAACATACTTCTTCTCCTCCTCAGGTTTGTTGAGTAGATTGATAACACTCTGCTGTTTGTGCACTATGGAGCTAAACTCAGGAAGCTTTAGTTTAGCTTCGCTAACATTTCGCCCTAAGACAGGGGGCAATGTTAGCCTGTCTGTGCCCAATGTAAAGAAGTCTAAAGGTACCTCAAAGTGTCGTGTGCTATTTATTGTCCTGCTCTGATGACTAACTTTACATGGAGGGGAGATATTTTCAAGATAAAACAAAAACTGAGGGATCACTGCAGAGCACAGCATGACTAAGTGGTGATGACACATGCACCACTTTAGCGATTTACAAGTCAAACATCCTGTTTTAACACCAGCCCGTCACTTACATTTACCTTTTGTTGGCAAGTAGATCCTATGAATATTAACCTAGAAGATTAATACCCATAGGATGCAATGATAGGAGTCTATTTAGTGTCACAGGTGAATAATAAGTCATGTGTCAGTGAAATGAGCACAATCAGATATGTAACACTCTTGCACTTTGCTGAGGGTCAATAATTACTCAGCGCTCACGACATCATTCTGCCTTTGCTCGTTTGTTTTTTTCCAGCCAAGCAGAACAAGCTGCTGTCCAAAGATGGCTTCCTCATGTACCTGCACCATCCGGAGGCCTTGGTGCTCAATCCCGATCACAGAGAGTTGTACCAGGACATGAGCCAGCCCCTCAGCCACTACTTCATCTCCTCCTCACACAACACCTACCTGATGGAGGACCAGCTCAAAGGGCCCAGCAGCACAGAGGCGTACATCAAGTAAGATCAGCTGTCCCGTGGTTAGAAGAATCTGTTCCTTCAGCTTCTGAATGCAGCTGCTGTCGTTTTAGTTAAGTGATAAAATCACATCAGTCTGCAGATGTTTTTCCTTCTTTGGTTTCTTTCTGACTTGATCAAACGAGGCTGACAAATGCAGGGTGTCTATTCCCTGGTAGATGTTTGTTCAAATTCTGTCAATTCTCGAGACACATTCATCACAGCTTGGATTTGATATCAACTTCAGCTCTGCTGAGTCAGAGCTGGCTGTTAAATATTAAGCTTGGACTCTTGGTTCCTTTTTCCTGTCCTGGGTAACCAAAACAATTCTTTTTAGCCTATATTAGTCTAATAACTCCTCCTGTAAATTGCACAATAATTCCTCCTCAACTAGGAGACATACAGGTTTTTCTGAAAGTGTCTAGTCATGTGAACATCGTGTAAACCGGATAAAGGATTTAGTCATCTGACATCTGCAACAGCAGAGCTAAAGCTACCAGATAAGCTTGCAGTGGATGAAGGAGCGTAAGAAGAATTGATTTAAGTTTGAATTGGTAAGACCTTCGTAGATGATTCGGCTCTGACTGTGAACTAACAAGCTCACCGAGGAAATCACTCAGGTGATCACCACTTTATATGTCATCTTCTAACATGTTTTTGAATTGAGAGTTTTTCCTGATTTCACTCAAGTTTATTGAGCGTCCAGATGTTGGTCACTCTGACCTTCATTGATTTGATCCGTTTAATTTGCGTCGTTTTGATCAGTGCTCGTCTCGTTGACTTGCCTGTGTGCTTTGTGTGCTTTGTGTTATTCTTGAGAATAACTTTGTAACATAAGTTTAGAAAAGTGCTCTATGAATAAAGATGACTATTATTAGTATTATAAGAAAGAAGCTAGAAGCACCTCAGCTCAAAGCCTATCCTGACATACTGTGAGCTGAGCAGGTTTGGAATAACATTGATTGAAATGTGAAGTTCTTTATTCAGTGTTTCTGTTGAAGTCAGCAGGTCTATTAGTTTTATGGAGGTGCAGCCCTTTAGTGATATTTTTAGCTTCCAACAGAAAGATACAGTTACATTAGTTTCAACTGTGCATCGTGCCAATGCTGTCATTTCTTTAGTACTCGGAGTTAAGGAGTAACAGAAAGTGCAGACCTTTAACTGACAAAATGCCAAATGTGGATATCTTGTGATTTGAATTCTGGACTTTTCGGGTGAAGCCTCTATGATCTATGATAACACGTACTTGGTCTCTTTAAATGTGAGGTCTCTAGAGACAAGGTTTAGGCTTCTTACAAAGCCTTTACTCTCGGCTCTAAAGCTAACTGTGTCTCTGTCAGGGCTCTGCTGAAGGGCTGCCGCTGCGTAGAGCTCGACTGCTGGGATGGCTCGGACGATGAGCCCATGATCTACCACGGCTACACCCTCACCTCCCAGATCCTCTTTAAAGACGCCATCAAAGCCATCAAGGAGTACGCTTTCAAGGTGCGTTTTGTGGCGTTGCTTTTTTTTTAGCTGTATCTGGAATATTAAAGAAAAAAAGTTTCCAATAATACTTTTGTTTTTCTGTTTTCCTTTTCTGTATTCTTTGCTCCCAGACGTCAGAGTACCCGGTGATCATCTCCTTGGAGAATCACTGCAGTGTGGAGCAGCAGGAAGTCATGGCCCATCACCTGAGCTCCATCCTGGGCAGCGCTCTGGTCACCTCCCCCCTGGGTGAAGGCATGCCCAAAGAGTTCCCTTCTCCTGAGGTTTGTGTTTCATTATATTTGTACCTTCATGATGCTTTCAATTAGCAACCGCTCCCACAGCTACACTGTTTGCTTTTGTGTGTGTGTGTTCACATACCTCCAGGAGCTGAAGGGGAAGTTCCTGATCAAGGGAAGAGGTTAAACAAACTGGAAGTCATGTACGCTCCTGATGACGAGGCAGCCGACGACACCGACGTCACAGAGGAGGAAGAGTCGAATGATGAAGAGGAGGAGGAGGAGAAAAACAAGGTGAGAATGACAACAAAAAAAACAGTAAGAGGTTAAGATGTTTTTTTTAAGCTGCACCAGATGTTACTTTTGTGCTCAGATTGAATTTTGATTTAACAGAAGCAGAAAAAGAAGCTGAAACTGGCCAAATCGCTGTCTGATATGGTGATCTACTGTAAAAGCGTCCACTTTCACGGCTTCGAAGACGCGAGGAACAACCTGAGCTTCTACGAGATGTCGTCCTTCAAAGAGGGGAAGGCCATGGAGCTGGCCGAGGAGTCTGGTGAGGACGACTTCAGCCTGAATTTACTGTATTGATTTATCTCAAGAAGTTACATGTTCATCAATTTCTACAAATAACTTACTGGTGTTTCACTAAAAATGCTCATTAGATTACTTATGAAGTTATAATAGAAGGCTGTCCAGGACACGCTCCTCATTTTTTCCATCTTCGAGTCTTGTAATTATGATGTTTGAACAGTTTTTTGTTTTGGTTAAGAAATCATTTGACACATTTTTTCAGATTTCAGAAGACATCGTTCATAATATGCACCCTGAGGTATGATGATAGGAAACGAAACGCTAACTCTCGGCTGAGTAGATAACTCTGTGTGTTCTCTGCAGCTAATGCCTACATCCATCACAATGTGGAGAAGCTGAGCCGCATCTATCCAGCCGGCTCCAGGACCAACTCCTCCAACTACAACCCTGTTCCTCTGTGGAACGCTGGCTGTCAGATCGGTACGTGATACTGACACAAAAGAAGGAACTAAAAGCTCTCGCATGCACAATGGCGTCTGAAAAGAACAATTAAAAGTCTTTAGATTTAGTTTATGACTCACCTCATGTTCTTATCACTTCTTTTTCAGTGGCTTTAAACTTCCAGACAACCTGCCCCGACATGGACGTGAATCAGGGCAGATTCCTTGTTAACGGCAAGACCGGCTACATCCTGAAACCGCCCTACATGAGGGACGTGAACACAGAGTTTGACCCCATCACCCTGACCCGGGGAGACTGGCTGAAGCACAAGACGCTACATGTCATGGTGTGTGTTTTATAATGTTACATAATGTCCAAGCAGTTGCTGTAGTTTGTTGTTAGAAGATCTTCTAATATCTCACACCATGTTCCCTCTGCTTGTCCTCAGATTATATCGGCCCAGCAGCTCCCTAAAGTGAACAATAGCAAGTCCTCCATCCTGGACCCACTGGTTAAACTGGAGGTGTTAGGAGTGCCGGCTGATAATGCTGAGAAAGAGACCAATCACATGGAAAACAACGGTACCTGTTCCTTTCAAACATATTAACAAAGCTTTTAGAATTAGAAGTTTATATACTTGCACATCTTTAAACTTTGAAGATTACAAGTTGCAACATTTACATTTTGCTCATAGCAGTGATGGTGTTTGATATTCATCAGTGTGTAACTTCAATTTAATCTGGAGCAGTTGTAGAATATGCCTCATCAGGCTGTTGCCTCAATTACCCAGAATGCAATGCAGCCACAGTGTATGAAGTATGATGGGTCAAGTCTCTGCCTACCCTGTGTATCTCTCTTTAAGACATAAAAACACACATCTGCAACGAGTGTGTTTATCATAGACTGGATAAAAAATGGACGTCGTCTCAGTGGCGTCATTGGTTGCTGAAAAGGCGTTATGAAGCCCAGTGATGGCAGCGGCCATATTGGAAATGCCGTCTCAATGTGACTTTTGATCATCTAGAAAAAAGAGGTGGAGTGAGGTGGGCTTTAGGCCTCCTGACAAACAGCAGTTATTTAACAGTAACTCTTAAGCGTAATAAAATAAAAACTGATGAGTTAAAGACAAACATGTCAACCCCTTACAGTGTGTACAAATGAAGAATTTAGATGTTGAAGCCAAATTATTTTTCTTTTTTTTTGCCCTTCCACGTGGGCTTCGTTTTTCAGCAGTGGAGGGTGTTTATGCCCTCTGAGGGTCTTTGCAATGCAGTCTGGGAAAGATGGAAAGGCTTTCAAGCACCTTGTGATGAATGCTGGTACTAACTGGTACATTTTTTCTCTTCTTTTGAAGGTTTTAATCCAACATGGAATGAAAACTTTCAGTTTGACGTGTTCGTGCCGGACCTGGCTATGGTGCGCTTCGCTGTTGAAGACTACGACTCGACGTCGTCCAACGAGTTTGTTGGACAGTACACACTTCCTTTTAACAGCTTGAAAATGGGTAAGTTCTTTGACTCATTGTGGACATTTTTAAGGATTTGTCAGGATAATTTTATCCTCTCTGTAACCCGGAGAGTAACCTCACCGGCAGATCTTTTGTTTTGACACAGAAACGGGAGCTGTCTCTTTTTCACAGCTTACATAGAGAATTCAATTCAGTCCCTGCACAAAGAGCTCCTTGTATTCTCTTTTTTCTGATTACACTTTTGTGCTCTTACACAGGCTACAGACATGTTCCTCTGCTCAACAAGAATGGAGACCTGCTCCCCTCAGCTGGACTCTTTGTACACATCATGATCGTCGATGCAGAGTAAGAAGTCACAGACTCTCTGCAGGACGCCTCTCTCCATAGCACGGCCATTTTGCAGCTGGTTTGATCTGGATTTAATGCCCTCTTTTTTTTTTTTTTCTTTTTTAGCTTTTTAGTGTGAGTTCATGATTCACTTATTGGCTTCATTCCAGTAGTTTGAGCAGCTGCTCTGAATCGTTCTTCTCAAGGGACAGTAGAGTCATCCACATCGGGACTTCTGTGTATTAGATGAGTGTATGCGTGCAAATACGACACATGATATAATTTTTAATGCTCAAAACAAACGGTATGATTTTGTTTGTACGAGTTGTATTAGTGTTTGTCTATTTCAATCTTTTTGTCCTTTTTCTGAATCCGTAGCATCAGAAGCCAACATAATAAACGATGTGCTTTGTCTTAATCAGTAGCAGTATCAGTCAATGAATCATTATTTTTTATGTGACGTCATCACGACTTCATCTTTTTGTAAATCGAGATGAAAATTAAAGTTTTAAACACTAACACCTGTCCTGATCTTTTTCTGTTCTTCTTTCCAAACACTGTTTCAACCATCATCAAAACTCTTTCCTATGAATCTCCAGGCGTCTCTTCCAGAGGTACCAGGTGAAACAATGGAGCTGTATTGTTCTTATAACCTACATATAATTGTGTGTGCAGTGCATACAATAGGTCATTAGTTACTGTCTTTATGCAAACAGGATAGAAAGAAACCTGTTTGGTCTCTTTCTATTGCTTCAGTCTTTCACTGTAAAGTGGTTACCTGATGACCTTTGGATGGAAACACCTTTAGTAAACATGGCGTCAGTCCAACAATCAGAAGGAAGTCAAGGAGGTGTTGAACATGAATGCACAATTCAGTGGTAAACTGTCAGCTGAACGGCCTGATGTCCTTTGTCTAATGTAACAATATCCAGCGCCACACGATCTAAATGTAGAGGTCAACAATATTTCATAGAAACAGACATGACGTCTTGTTTGTAAAAGGGGATGCTGTCGGTGACTTCCCCTTGGATGATAAACACACACTCTGCAGTTTGACTTTAACTCATGAGATGTTTCTGAAGTCTTTCAGGACGCAAGGGAACTGAAAGCTCTCAAAACACTCTGCTTTACCCAAGAACAAAAGTAACAGCATTAGCAGCTAGCTAGTGAACATGGTGGAGCCCTTAGCTGCTAAAGAGACCAATAGTAAGAGTGAATACTGAGTTTAGATTTATTCAGATGGATGAAACTTTCCAAACAAATACCAGTAATGCTCTATATCTCCGTCTAAAAATAATAATAATTTATACTTTATTAATCCCCCAAGGGGAAATTTGGTTTTACACTCTGTCTAGTTAACATGCTACACAAACATAGGCCGAAATACACAAACAGGATCCTATGGACATGCATTAATGGAGAGGTCTCGGAGCGAGGGGGCTGCCCACAGCGAGCGCTCCAGAGCAGTTTTTTGGGGTTCGGTGCCTTGCTCAAGTGCACCTCGGCAGTGCTCAGGAAGTGGACTAGCACCTCTCCAGCTACAAAATCAATATCCAGACTTGGTCCGTGCCGGGACTTGGACTGACAACCCTCTGATTCCCAACCCAAGTCCCTACAGACTGAGCTACTGCCACGCCCAAAAAAGAAAAAGAAACGCTCTTTAAAAAGATTGTCAATGTCTGAGTAAGAAGACGCTAAATGTTGTGTTGATAGTTTTCTCCTGTGCTTTAAAGTGGGCAAATAGGAAATGAATGAAGACTAATGGTGGGGTTAGATAATCTGGATGCACTTTTTCTTCTAACCAATACAAGTCTTACATCCGAATAAAGATAGGAATTTAAAGCTTTGAAAACGAAATGTGAAATTCCTGTGTTTGTGAATGTCACAACAACAAGTCTGTCCAGTCATCTTATTTGGTTGGAGGGTTTTCCTGCTCACACTCACCGTGTCTAAGTGGTTTCCACAGTTAAAGCTGATCGGCTGGTTTCACAAAAGAAAGGACGGCGAAATGAAGTGAAACACAGTTAACAAGACCACAACGCTCTGAACTCTCCTAGACTTTTCCTGCATTAAAGTTGAGGCAGAGCATGTTGAGTTTTTATTTTGGAGGTGTGGGGTGGAAGTAAATGTTTCTGCTTTGATCATTTGAGCTTTTTCTTGTTTTCCAAAGTTGCCTACCTCAGTTTGAAGCCCCTGAGTGGAGTTTTTGGCCGGTTATAAATACAGACTGGAATTAATCAGTAATGCCTTTTTATGACCTACAAAAGCAAACGAGACAATCAGCAACAAGGTGGATCATATCTTTGTTAATAGTGCGTGAAACCACTGCCTACCGTGGAGTAGGTGGCAGGCTAAGAGATTAACTGCACTTCTACATTTTAAAAAGCAGGATGAGATTTATTGCTTAAAAACACTACTACTTATTGTACTGAACATAAATGGCAAATAAATGACTAGTCCAGATAGTCCACAGGGTCGCCAAAATCAACACAAATCAAAAGTTCCTAAGTTCATTTGTGGTACTGGCTAACTTTTCACAAGAGGTGAGATTGTTCTCAGATATAATGTCTCACCACTGCATGCTCATGAAGGTTGAAATAAAACAGTTTTTGTAGTTAGTCAACAGACAAGAGGACAAGCAACATTCTCCATACGTATGTGCTTTATTGTGACATTATTGGCAGGGGAAAAAGTGCAGATAAATGAATGACTTCACTGTAAAATACCGTGCCGATCTCTCTCATGACTTTTGTGTTAATAGTCAAAAACGGGAACATACAGACGATGGAAACCTCAATCACACCATCTGAAGTGATGATCTTTGGCCTGATTTTATGAACTCTACCAAACATCTGATTAAAAAAAAAAAAGAAAAACAGACGTTACAGGTTAGTTTCAATGAAGCCTTTTATTATGGAAAGAAAGAGAAACAGTGATGCTCAGGATGACAACACGCAAAGTAAGCCAACAAGAACCAACAAGTGTTAAAAAAGAAGAAGAAGCAAATATTTAGAAAATAAAATGCACAGTGACTTGAACTCAAGAGTTGTAGAACTTTGGTGTGAAATCAATACAAAAAAATGATGACTGTGATTATGAGTGAGGTGATACACAAAGAAACACTGTAAGGACGCACAAACAAGACGTCTGTGCACGCACACACACACACACACACACACACTTACACACACACGTGTATGTCCCCTGATAGGAGAGACGAGACCTGACTGAGATTTATCACCAAAGGCAAGAGAGAGAGAGAGGAGATTACAGGATGAGAAAAACAATGAATACAACCGATCATAGGCGACTTTTTAAAACCAAATACTGACAAACGGTTGGTAGAAAAATATCACAATGATACAAACAACGTTTTCAGAGAAAGGTAAATCATTGAGAGGTGGAGGAAAGTCTTATAAAAGGACATTGCACTGAAACCATCTTCATGAGCTCGACACTCACCACCAACACGTATTACGAAAAAAAAAAAAAAAAAAAATTCTGATACGCCTGAAGGAGCAGCAGCCTGACGACGAGACAGAAAAATGTCGGGAATCATGAAGTTGTGTAGGTCTTTACAAAAAAACATCATGACCCATAAACCAAGCAAAAACGGCCAAATAAAGCTGAAAGGATTTCATGCTTCATTAGCTCGTTTGTATTTCCTTCCAATGTTAGGTCACCCGACTGGCCATATACGCTCGCTTCTTTACACTCCATAAAGTAAATGCTAATGAGAAGATGCTTAAAGTCGTAGATGTGATGTTGGAGTAAATGAAGAAACATTGCTTTGTGCCTCCACAGGCAGTAAGGCATCAACGCCCTGATGAGGTTCTTCACAGTTCTTCTGCAGTGCTCCCGTATTGTTCCACTTTTAGTCGGCCCCTTGCATGTCGATGGACCAACACGGAGCACTGAAGGTTTGGAAGGCGTCTTTTTTTTTTTTTTTACTTTCTTCCAAAACAGAAGCTGATATAACTGTGGCAATGAAGTTCACTATACAAGGTTGTTTGGCTAATGTTGCTGAAATAAAAGAGCAACATTCAAGTTGTTTCAGTATTTTGATTCTAAAAATAAAATTAAATCAAACTTCTTTCTTAAAAAAGACCAAAATTATTTGTCTAATTTTTAGGTCAAATTATAGACAAAAAAGGTTAAAAGTTCAATAATTAACACTTAAAGTCATTACGATAACTAAGCCAGCCTGCACTGTCAACCAAACCTCTGCTGGCGAGCTGTGTCAAGTGCTCCGGACACCCAAACCAAACACTCGGGTTGGAAACTTTCCCCCAAAAAGGTTATTGCCATGGTAGCTAATGTTGCAGCATTGGGTTTGTGTGGCTCCTCTCAAGACGTAGGCACTGAGGTGAAGAGCAGTTAAAGAGAGTCTGGGAAGGTAAACACCACACGCTGTCTCCACTGGTTTAAACAACGGCCATCACTGGATGTAAATCAAGAGAGATGGTGTGATTTTAACACCGTCCAGACACTGAACTATACTCCCTTAAAGACACCGACCTCATGAAAACATTTCTGTAAGATCTGACCATTTGAAGAAAAAAGAAAAAAGGGATACCTTTGCAACTGTGTACAATTCTGGAGGAGGATAATCCCCTCGCTGTGAAGCTGCACATCGTGTGTCAAAGAAGAAGAAAGAAAAAAAGCAGCGGGCTAAAAGTTAGCCGTATGATAAGCAAGACAAACGAGGAGCGCGTAACATGAAAAACCGGACTAATGTATTTGACAGCTATTTGTCAAAAGAATCAAACCTAGAATGATATACTTACTAATGGTTTTAGATGTTAGCTGAACCCCTGGAAAAGATATGAAGCCTGTTCAAAACAATGTCCTTATTTGGCAGTTCATAAAATGAGATGAAGGAGGGGAGGGAGAATCATATGAGAGACAGAAATAAATGGCACATTTTATCTGAGCATTCAGATCAAAACTATCAAACGCAAAGATCTACTGTAAAGGTCGGGCATAAGGTTCACAATTGCAAACATACTCCTTTGCCTGAAACAAAGTAACTAGTTCTACATATAATGAAATCAGAAAGAAACAAAGTCACATCTAGATAATGGCACAAGCATACTGGGAAAATAAAGAGAATACTATGGAGACTTTTACCCAGCGTTTGATGTTCAAAGAAAACCAAAGTCAAACTTGTTTATCAAGATATTCTGTGTCCACTTTAAAGCATATTGTGTGTCAAGACAGGAGTACTCTGGAAATATGCCATGTACAAAATATCTCCCTATATAAACAACATTCACACAAGGCACTTCATTCGGTAAGAAAAGAGAATCACAGTCCTTCCTACGACCAGAAACTGCCTGCATAGCAACAATACGAGGACTAAATCTTCTCAGGCTTTTGTGTGGTACCACAAAAGAAGTTTCCGAAAAAAAAAGTTGTTTCCTTTTTTTTTTGGTTTCATAACAAGCACTTCACCGAATAGTAAAACTTTGTTGGTTTGAAAATAAAGACCAGAGTTCAATCCTCTTAGCTTTTTGTCCCAAGTATTACCAACATAGGGCGCTCTGTACACGTTCACGTGTGTCTTCTGGTGAAACACAGTGCTCCTGGGATATTTAGTGTTTGGGTTTTTTTTTTTTTCTTTCTGATTGCACTCAGAAGGCAGCCGGTCACCAGGAAATAAGACGGGGTTAAACGTGACGGTTTCCACAGTGAGACTCCATGGCGTCCCCTTGGGGCAGAGACAAGAGGGTCGCGTGTGGGAGGATCTGCCTGAGTCTGAGAGATGATGTGGCTGTAGAGACGGGCGGAGGTGGACAGAGAGGAAGACTGTGGTGTGTCCTGCTACCTGCCTCTTAGGTTCTGCAGGACCCCGTAAACCTCTTCCTCTTTGCTGAGTCCCTCAAAGAAAGGCAGCAGGTCCAGGAGCTCTGTGTCATTCATATCGTCAAACCAGGACTGGACCGGAACCTTTAGAGGCGGGAGACCACATTCAGTTAGCTTTTATTTTATATCAACGTTATCACAAATAATACCAATGTACAAATGGAAACACACCCCAGACAAATGAATTGTAAAAGACAAATACAGATCGACTTCAAGTCACGGGGAGGACAACCGAAAGTAGCCAACTAAATTTATAATTTGTAAATCAACAATCAAGTTTTCAAGACCTCTGATATTTGTTTTGGTTTTATTTGGTTATTTATCACAATAAATAGACAAAGTGTGAGCCTGTTTCCACTGTTATTCTGTTAACAGATGTCTGAAATGTTTTGATTATATTAATGAGGCTCTTAACTTGAATTTTTTACATTTGTTTTTACTATAGTAGCCACAATTTCTATGAGCTTCAAGATGATAGAAACATTCAGGGTGATAGGAAGACTAACTGGCTGCAAGGCAGAGTATATCTATTCTATTTCTGGTTTCTGACACTTACAGCGTTTTCTGGGTGGAAAATGTACGAGGCGGGTGAATTGTCCACAATGATGACGTTGCTGAGCTCTCGTCCCAGCCGGCTGAGGTCTTTGACATAGTTCCCTCTGTGAAAAACGCAGGACTCTCTGAAGAGTCGTGCTCGAAACACGCCCCACTGGTCCAGCAGGTCTGCCACAGGGTCTGCATACTGTCCAAGACAAACACACACAGAAAGTGTTACACAAACATTAGATATGTCCTGAAAGACAGAGAGAGAAAAAAGACAGCGATAAACTGTTGTAAAGACTTCTGAACAGATCTAAAGTGCTACACTATTATTCAAAGCAGGTGATCCTTCACAGACTTCTACCTGACAAGGAAGATGCCTCAGGGTTTACTAGACTGTACAACAAGCAACACTGACACCTACTGCTGCTTTAAACTCAGCACGGGGAATATTTGCTAAGGCACAAACAGCAGGCTCTTCTCTGTCTCCTCCATTAAACTTACCCATGCATTATTGTCTAAGATGCAAAGACACACAGAAGGAGAGTGAAACAGAGGAAGTGTGAAATAACAGACAGCTAGAGCAGAGGAAAAACGCAGAGCAAAACAAGGAAATATATAAAATGTTCTTTCACGGCAGACATTGGCTCGTTAACCAAAACTCATGTCAGAATAAAAGATAAACACGTCCGAGCTCAACTCACCTTGGCAAGGCTGGCTGTGAAGAGCACACATTCAAAAAGCTCGCCCATCTTTTGAAGAAACTCATCCACATGGGGTCGCTTCAGCACATAAACCTGCAGGACGCAGCAGATTTTAGGCCCAGGTTAGAGGAAAACAACATGCATAGTTAAACACAGGTGTCAGGATTGTTTTAGAAGGTTTTCATATCGTACAGTTCTGCATTTTCCTGTTACTTGTTTTTACATTATCAAAAATCTTCTACTTGGTGACAACCCTCCTTCACAGAAGTTATTCTTACTCACAGTTTAGACGCCCCCATCTCTTTGCAAGCGACTACCACCCAGTGCAAGTAATCATGAATAGGCCGACCAGGATACACACAGCCTATCCTGGATTACTTGAACTGGATCACAGCCAGTCTCTTCAGGATCTTCACATTGAAACGTTCCTGAATAAAAAGATATGCAGCCTTGTATCATGTCTCATTACGGTCTGTGTGTAATACCTGATGAACGGTACCATCGATCTCCACTGGAACAATGAAATCAGCATTGCTGATGGGCTGTGAGAGGAAACACAAAAGAACATCTGAGGCATTCAGACAGTTGATGTAGTACTACATCTGACCAGCAGAGGTCCTGCTAGGAACACTAACTTGACATGTTGCAGATTGTCTAAACTCTTGCTGAAAGAATAATAATATAGTCCATTTATTTTCTGCCAAAACAAAGACATCACAATTTTCTTTTCAGTGTCTGCGGTCCCTCTAGCAGTCTAACCCAACAGAGAACTAGGACGCCTTCCTCAGACAGGGTGGAAAAAAAGAATGGATGAAGAGGACCACAATCATCATCATTTTCTATATGTGACAAAGCTTGTTAAAGCTTAAAGAGGAACTTAAAGAGAAACATCAGCAGGCTCATCCTCTGGCCTACATCCAGCCTGCTCTTATTTTTTACTGCACAATCAGGAGAGTATTATCTCTGCTGTTGTTACTTCAGCACATCCTCCACCACCTGCTCCTCTCCTGCCTGTGTTTACACAGTGATCTAATGGTTTGACACGGCTTTGACTTCAGGCCGGTTATTGTTTGGCTCTTGGGTATAAAGCATCACTTATACAACATGTATTCTTCTTGTTGCAAAGCGGTTTATATACACAGTATGATTTATAATGTTACAGGAAATAGTTATGTGAACAACATTGTTAGATTTAGGATTTTATCATTAAAATAGTAAATCCAGCTGGTGACTTCTAACTAATATAAAAGACCTTAAGTGGCTCACACTCACACTCAGAGACAGCTTTATAGCTGTTTGCATTAACAGAAAACTCGAGCCTCTTCTTACCTTGAATGAACTGTGGACGAGCGTTTCATCCAAGTCAATCACCACACACTTTTTGCCATAGTCAGATATTATCATCTCAGGTAGGAGGTATTTGGCTGGTGGCTGGGTAGAAATAGACAATGCAGATTATGTCAGATATATGGAGAGGGGGATGGAGAGTAACAGAGAGAGAAAACCAGAGAGAGAGAGAGATTAAGACACATTTTTTTTGCGTAAATTAATGTCCAAGGCTGAGCAAAAAGCAAACACCATGTTAGGAAGAGTGGGTGACAATGAAGCTTGATAAAGCAATGTCTTAAATGATGCATTTAATAGACTCGTTCTTATCTTAAAAACAACACCCTGAGGACACCAAATAAAAACACAGGACACACCCTCTTTACAGACGCCTAACTCATAGAAGGTAAAGCTGCAAGGCCAGGCTACGACTAAAGGAGTTTTAGGTAAACTCATAAGTGTAATCACTCATTTAACAGTCATAGGGCAATTCTGGTTTAATAACCTCGGTCGGTATCAATGTTCAGGCCATTAATATTAACTAATATGCTTCATTTAAAATCAGAAAGATCATGGGAATACGTTCAAAGTGGGGCCATCATGGCTCATGTGAGTGAGATCTACATGGATACAAAGCACCTAGAAGTATTGCAAAGTAACTTGGTTAGCATGCAACTGCTGACAAAACCGGATCAGATACAATCACACCCCTAGTTGTTTTTGGAGAACAGACAACCCATGTTTCCTACTGTATGTCTGCCCAAACATTTTCTTCAAGACTTTTCTTTTATGCAAAGCATCGCTTCATAAGTTTTTTAGTCAATTTTGTTTGAATCTGCTTTCCTGTGTGTTTAAACAAGATCAGATGAGCTATGTTGCTTCCTCTGGTGCACATGATAATTCGTATGTGCATGATCTAAACAGGTTATTTAATCAGTCAGGATTAACTCCTTTAGTCTAGGACTTTTAGGCCTTTCCCCCCTGGAGATCTGTGAAGATTTGATAACATTTTTCACAACATCTCGTCCATGAAAAGCTAAGCTGCTGAGCAAAAAAATAAAGATCTCTTAAAACATGATAGGATGAAGTTATGTGGGGAAAGTATGGCTCAGTGCAGGAGTTGTATTATAATACTTTTACTTTACTTCTGGCATGGAAGCACCTGATGAATTAAAATAGTTCCAAAACTGAACTTGTTAGAAAGTTAGTGTCACAGTATTTCTGAGAGCATACAAACCACAGAGGATCACTCATGCAGATCAGTCACTGCGGCACCACTTAAACCCACAGGTGAACATACACCTTCCAAAAGCCAGTGCAACCATCGGCTGAAAATGAACCGCAGTACGATAGCCGAGCAAAAGCTCTCTGAGGAGCACTGGAGCCCACATAGAGAGGATGTGCCAGCAGCAGCCCACTCAGCCTGCATGCAGAGGAAAAGAAATAAAATGCAATACATACACTAGGGACAGGGATGACCTCGACCTGGTCACACTATAACATAAAAGAGACAGATACACATGTACAAAAACAGGGTGAGGGGTAGGAAGGACAACAAAAAAGACACAAAAAGAGTCCACATCGATAAAAAGAAACAAACAGTGTGTGGTTGGTAGAGCAGCAGCTCACCTTGGGAGGAGATCCATTCTCCTCAACAGGTGGAGGCAGGGCGCTGGTGTTGGTGTTGTTGGCTGGGGGTTCCACATTGTAATTGCGGAAGCAGCAGAAGAATGTGCTAAAGATGCTCCGGCTCCTCTGCTTCTTTAGGCTGCTGTTCGACTGGGACGCTGTCAAAACAACAGGGAGGGGTGCGAGAGCGGAGGGGGAACAAGTGGGAATGCAAATGGTTGTCATAAAAATGTAGCAGGCTGAAGATGGGAAGAGTTTATGTTTTGCATGCTGATCTGTGGATGCTGCTTGAATATCTGTGAACAAACAGTAATATGTTCGTTACACTTTTGCTAAGTGACCACAGTGGTGTGAGCTGCACTCAATCACAATAGGTGAGACCTTGACAGTGTGATTAAATGGCATTAGTGTTGGTTTTGTTGCCCCAGTCTGGCAGAAGTACTGATCAGAAAATAACTCGGCTGACTGGGGTGACCTCATCAGTCACACATAGCGACAGTTTAGTGCGTGCTCGCCTCTGATTGCAAATCGCCTCTCATTCCAGGACTACAGAGCGGGGCCTAAATCAGACACTCAGCTTATATTAATAGTGACAAGTTGGGAGGCTGCACAACCCTCCCTCCTCATGGATCCTGCCCAGCCGTGGATCCCATCTCCTGATTGGCCTTGGGGTTCTCCATTTTGAACGCTTGCTTACGTTTCCCATGTTTCAGCTGGCAGGTGAGTGACTGAAGCAGCCTGGACATGCAAAGAGACGAGGGGAGGGAGGAGGTGGGAGGCCCTCAGACCCACGCAGGGCCTATACAAGGCTGCATTCCTCTCCACCCATGTGCCCTCCCTTCTTTCCCCTCAGCTCACTATCAGAATGCTTTTGCAACTGAAGACCAGCAAAGAACATTATGTCATGCCTTTAGGCTTTCATCATAAAAAAGATACATAAAATGACGAACACGCTTTATAAACAAAATATTAGTGAAGACAGAAGACTTTCAAATACTTCTGCTAATACAAGCAAAGCTATCCTTTCAATGATAATATTGAGTAACCACAGTCTTTTACTTTATCAAAATACTTCAATTGTATATTCCACGAGTAAACATATTCATGAATGCAGGAAAAGGTATCAGACAGCAGAGCACAGCCTCAAGAAATCACACTGCTGGCTATTTGACCTTATCTTTACTTTCTGGAGATACAACCTCATTCACCTCCAGATAAGTTAGGTACAATATGCATCCTTTCAATTTGAGTGACTTTTTAAAGAAATGTTTAAACTTGTACACGTGATAACTGAAACAATAATGATGGATAATTAAAACAGCATGTAGTTCTATGGACATAACAATACATTCAACACACGATGAGATGTGTCACGTTGCCAATTATGCTGTTGAGTCATTACACCTGGCTCTAACATGTTAATCATCAGATGAACTCCTTAAAACAACAATACACTTAGTGGTCTCTTTAGCTCTTGCACTGACTAAGGGGAAGGAGTTTTCAAATCCACTTCCAGCATACATTAGACATAATCAAGGACAGTGTTTTTGTGTCTTGAGCTATGCTGTTTCACATGTTACGTGTGGTTGTGTTATTTGTTTATGCAAGTTATTTTTGGGGCCTTTTTGTCTTTATTGGATAATGGATAGACAGCTAAAGAGAGAGGGGATATGTTGGGAGGGGAGAGTGGGGGATGACATGCAGGAAAGAGCCACGGTCTGATTTAAAATCCACAGCCGGTGGGACGAGGACCACAGACTACATACGAGTGTGATTCCTGCGTGAAAGTAACAGGAGTAAACACACTTATGTTCTACATGACAACATGGTCTTGGGTGCTTTATAACAGCAAAATCAGAATAAATAAAGTAATCTGCAATAAAGGGCTCCTGATCCTTTGTACTGACGGCCCTAGTTTTTCTTCAAACATTTTTTATCTGGAGTTTTTTTTTTTTTTTGAAAGATGGCAACGCCAAAAAGTTGAAGGTGAAAAAAAAAATAGAGAATAAACCAATCAAGAGCCATGAAGAAACATGTTATGCTCCTCACTTTTTTATATGTAGTCAATCCTCTGGGGGGGGGGGGGTATCCTTTTATTTTATGTCAAAAGACACATGAGACACACCAACAGAAAGGAGGAACAGAAAAGAGAAGAGAAGTCCAACTTCTGCCCAATGTTTCCAGAGAATTAAGGCTACCATCTGACCCTATCCACTGGAAAATACCAAACGTTGACACAACACTGCAGCAACCACAAAATAAAAAAAAACGTACTACATACTGATTCTAAGACCCATTGCTTTCTTTGTGACATTATGAAATAGCTCTAAAGGGAAATTAACCAAATTGCTCTCTATGGTCCCCGCTGAACTTCAGTCAGAGAGGTTTGCTGAAAGATCATCATATCTGCCCTAATAAGCCGGGTTTAAATCTAAAAATAACCTAATGAGGGCCAAAGACTTCCTTTGTTAAACTAGACTTTGTCTTGTCACTTTAGCTCTGTATCCATGGAAAACTGGGACAGTTGTCAGCCTCCTGTGATTCATCAGCACAACCAACCAATTCCTGTACACAAAGACCCTCAGAAAACACACAGGATGTCTGAGTCATGCACAGAGCACAACTCTGCCTCAAACACACATCACTCACCTGAAGATAAAGAGAGGGAAGATGTTTACTCACAAGAAGGTTTGATTTAAATTCAATCAGTCCCTCCAGGATTTTTCAAGATTTTCTTGACACAAGGTTTGCCTTTTGCGATGCTATACACGCAAAGAACAATATACATAATATAAAAAGGTAGATAAAGGGACTGAGGTATTACTGTCGCACTGCACAAACACTTTAAAATCAGCAATGACTGACACAGAGCCTCTCTTGTGTGTGGAAACTTAACAGCCCAGGCTCAGATTGGTTAAAAAAACTCAACACAAAGCACTGGGATGTGGCTTAAAAGAACGGCAGTTTTCAACACAGAAAGAGGGATAAAAAATTACAAGAACTCAGGTATTGGATTTCTTAATATGGATTCATTCAGACTCAATCAAGTCTCCACAAGAAAGTGTTGTTTGTGGCCAGAAAGAGGGACAATAACACCAGAGCCTTGTTAGAACAGAGCAGCTGTCTGCTTTTTTTTTCAAAACAAAGTACAACTCTAGCATGCAGCTTTCCAAAGATATAGAAGATAAATTAACAATAAAAAATATTCTGATCTTTATACAACATTGCAGATATTGACAATATAACCAATATCCAAACAGCAAATTTGTTTGTGTTTAGCCGGAGAAGTATGGCAACAGACCTGTAGTATTGCTTAATATGAAAATTATGTAACCTGAAAGTTGTTTTATATACGTTTTTATAAGTGTAATTTCTTCATGTCATTTGAAGACAAGCACTCCATGTATAAACATACATTTTACAATGGCAACTATCCAAAAAGATTCAACCAATTTTTTTAAAAAAGGAGGTAAATAGAAAATGATATGCAAGAGCTGGAGAGGTGCCAGGGCACTTCCCGAGTACTGCCGATGTGCCCTTGAGCAAGGCACCGAACCCCCAACTGCTCGGGTGCGCTCTCCGCTTAGCAGTTTGTAGCAGCCCCACTCTGACATCTATTTGTGTGAGAAGCATGTCCCTATAAAATAACAGTGTTAACCCGAATTTACCCTCAGGGATTAATAAAAGATATCAAAAAAAATAAAAAAAGCAACCATTATTTTTAAAGTCCAGGCATTTAGGCATTTAGAGTAACTTCACTATACCTCTAACCTTTATTTTCCTTGACTTAGCCAATGCCTTGTATTTACGCTGTGGGAGGTAACTGGCTCTTTAAATTTACTCAGAATATTCTTGCAATGATATGACAGAGCTAATAACCATGTCACTGTGTTTGTCATAATCAAAAAAACAACACGCCTTTTATTACAAAATAGAATGTCTCAGTCGAAGTTTAAGAATAAATTATATTTTGTATGAATTTCTGGGGGAAATTAAGAAAATTCAATAATATTAAGCATTAGGTAGCGTTCCTATTACCCCACTAAACCTGTGTTAGGAAGAGTATTACACAACTTAACAGTACATCTGTTTGTTTTTCCAGTTGTGATTTGACTTTACATTTGCAAGTCAAACTTCAGGATCTCAACTAAGGGATCCAAAATAATTATAGTGTGATATCGATGATGTTACAAAATACAATGTTCAATGTTTACCACACTTATATAGGTCTTCAACATGTTCTGCGATTCCTTGACAACGGAGAAGGGAGACGGGATGGTGTAAAGCCACCCACGCATCTCAGAAATGCAATCAAGTTTTAACTCAAAAATATGAGGAGTGCCAACTTTAATTAGTTGAAACACTCTTCATAAACACCCTCCCAAAACCAAACAATTTGGGCACTGAGACCACAGCCCTTTTTATCTTCTTTTGAAAACAAAGTTGTTGTCCCAAACTTAAGCAGACAGAGTATGACTACATGGATAGAAAACAGATTATTGTCATCTCTGCTGTAGTTATACTCGGCCTTGAGGTCAGTGGTGCTCTGACCAACAGGGCAGTGAGTCTATATTTAGTCCGCTGCTTGGCAGCTAAACCAGTGTGGAAGCCAGGCACATGTCCTGAGACAGTCAGCAGAGAAACACTGAGAGCAAAGGTAGTCAATTTTGTCCAGACAGTTTGGAGCCTGTTCAAGCAGCAGAAGACTACCTGTCAGATTCCTCCAGGACAGCTGCTGAGATGGGCTTCACGTTCAGTGCTTGGCACCAGATAAGAGACTATAAAATCGTTGCATACTTGTAATATAATCGCAATGACTACAGCTAGTCAAAATAATTTCATGAATCTTTTTTTTTTTTTTAATCACGGCTTCACATAAATCATAATTACACACCACACAATCAAAGACTACAGTTTTCAAAAAAGTCTCAAACAAAAGAAAGAAAGACCAACGCTGTTCTATTCTTATAATGCCGGTAATATTTGACTTAGCCCCAGGGAAAGAAATGTGTGTGAGTTATTCTTAGGAGAAAACAGAAGAGGTAGCAGACAAACACAAACATTGCTGCTCTACTTTTTAATCTAACTCAACTGTGTCCAGTATAACAGTCAATTCAGACCAATACAAGGTGCGATTTTGATGCAGCGTGTTGAATTCCTGCTGAGTGACTGTTAAGAGCTACTCAAATCTCTCTATTGGTAAACAACAATATGCAACTAAAGTGTTATAACAGCTTGAAACATTTCATAAGCATAATGATTGCAAGCCTAGAATAAAGTTACCAGAATACAATGTGTCCTTAACAAACATGTACTGAACTGGTCAAAACTATTTACACTTTATTTGTCCTGCCTGCCACAAATAATTAGTGTGGGGGTCAAATCCCAATCTGCAATGATATTCCCCCTCAACTCCCATATACCTGAAATGATAATACCTTAAATGATCCACTTGCATGTTCAAGTTGCATTGAGTCAATGGTAGTTACTGAGGGATACCTCTGTTCCCTCAGGAGAAAGCATTGTCGTGGCTAAAAGCTTAAGTTCTCACATTACTAATGGTCTGACATGTGACGTTTGAGATGTGATACTGAAACACATCCCATGGGCCTGTGTGACCCGGAAAGTGTCAGGGTAGCCCCAGGAACAGGACTCAATGAAGACCAGCTGAAATGATTGTGTGGATGAGATTTGGCTTGAGCTGCAGATCATGCCAAAAACTAGAGCCTGACTGATTAATCAGCCAGCCGATAACATCTATCAATATTAGCATATCAAGTGACTAGCGGCTAATTTGATTTCTGGTATGCATTGATATTACTAGATTTATCCACCAGTCAAATAGCATTTCATTTGGCAGGCCGCCCCCCCCTAATATAATGGTAGGGGAAACACAGGGATTAACTCAGTAAATGCGTGTATCTATCACTAAGGATCTAAAATAGATCCAAGAAAGATATCGGCCGATAAATGGGTGTCTGATTCTTTTCTCTCCTTAATATTTATTTCATCGGATTTATTTAGTTATTTTTAAGCAGTACAATGTAGAGGAATATTTTCTTTTCATTTTGGCCTTTTCACAGAACAAAAATGTGAAGGAGGAAGAAAAACTTGGTATTGGCCCTAAAAAATCCCATATCGGTTGGGCCCTACTAAAATGTGTAGCCCAACCTGTATAGGCTTAAACGGGTACTGATAAAGAGAGAAGTTATCTATTTTGTATGGACTTATTTTTATGGTTTATTATGAACTGATCATATGGTTTATTATGAACTGATCATATGGTTTATTATGAACTGATCATATGGTTTATTATGAACTGATCAATTGAAGACATGTCTATTCATGTCTACTCAGGAGGCTGTTTCCTTAATAAAAATACCTTAAAGTAAAAAACTAAACCTCATTATACAGTCAGTCAACTCAAGTGCTAACCTATCGTGCTAACCCAGAGCTGCTTGACTGTGACGCTCTGCTCCATGTGCTGAAGACAGTTCTGAGTTTATTTTAAACCATGCTCAACAAATCACTTGATGATTTATCTGTAAACATTTAGACCAATACAGATATATCTGTTCTAGGCCAATATCAGCACAATAAAAAAAAAAGCCATGCTGTACTAAATAGTGAGTGGAGGGATAATAAAAAAAAGATGGAGTGTAGTGAAATCAAGGCACTAGAAAATCACTTTGCCTCTGATATTCCCTTTTATGTGGGAGAATATTCACTTAAAATAAAGAAAGGGTTGCGATAGGTTCAATTTTGCTGAAAAAATCCATCATTACTAATACGAAACTTACAACTGGATACAAAACATAGAAAATTCACAAGAGAGCCTTTACAAGTGATTTTATCTCGTAGTTACTGTTAACAACATGGGCAAACTGCAGATCAGTGAATGGCCTGTGCAAACCTGTGCATCCTACAATGAGACCACAGAAGTGATTACTCTCTAACATCAAACATTCATATCTCGAGCAAAATACTTCTCCAGACATTTTACATCAAACACCCCAGTTTTCTGGGAAGCCACGTCAAAGTAAAACTTTTGCAGCCCATCGGATCAAACCACCATGAACTTTTCAGATTCTTGCGGCGGTGATTCATTTAATGAGCAGGAATGAGTCACCTATCAGATCATTTGTACCGTTATACATATGGCAAGCCCTTTTGACATTTAAGTATTAGCGGTAATAGCAATTGTAGATATCAAGCAGACATATCCACAATGTAATTTTCACTTGTCACAATTCTAATTAAAGATATCTACAATTTATTTTCCACTAGTGGAAATGGTCATTGTAGATATCTGTAACTTAATTACTAACTAGTCAGCTTGTGCCATTGACTTCTATTCAAATTGAATTACAGATATCTGTAATTCAATTTTTACATGTTGTAATTCAAAGTCGACATATCCATAATGACATTTTGACATGTCGCAATTCTAATTCATGATATCTACAACTCAATTCTCACTAGTAAAAATGTTAATTCTTGATATCAACAATTGACAAAGTTCATTTATGATATCGACAATTGTTCTAACATGACAGATATCATAAATTAATTACAGATAACAAAAATGCAATTCTTACTTGTCGAAATTACATTATTGACATGTTGACCTGGAATTACAACATGTTAAGAATGTAATTACAGACATCTTAAATTAACATTTCCACTAGTGAAAACTAAATTGCTGCTTGTCAGCCAGACTGTTTTAATATTAAAAGGGCTTGCCATGTTATATGGCCCTAAAACAAACAGCTTAGTGATAACCTGGGACATTAAATGGACCAAGTCACACTTGTTCTTCTTCAGCGTGATGTGTGAACACATGAAGTTCAGTCACATTAGTTTTGACTTTTAATCAGATAAAACTGAACGGATGCGCACTATTTGACGCACAGCACAAAAACGTGATGATCCTGCTCTCATAAACTTGTTGCGTAGGCCTACAAACATGTTGTGGACTGTATCTTGCAGTGATTAATGGTGAAAAGTGTGAAACAAATAGTCAACCAGTGTCTAAACATATTGAAGCGGAGAGCTAATGCGTTAGCGCTGGTTCACCGTTTACCGACTTGTCCTTACCTTTTTCCTGGTTGAAACATATTATTTCCTCCTCCTTTGGGTTGGAAACTTGGGTTATTATGGACATGTGGTCCATTTATGCGGGTAGTTATTCCTGTTGTATTCCCCTCACTGTTACTCGTTACTAACGTGGTTGCTAACTCCTGTTAGCTTAGCGGGTTAAGAAGAGGATGACCGTCCGGGGCTGAAGTGTTGTGTCAGCGGTGTTAGCCCGCCAGCTAGCACGGTGTTTAAAAGGAAGCCGGAGAATGGCTGTCATTTATGGCTCTCCGTATAATATCATCGCTGCAAAAGCAAAAAAAAGCTTCGTGGGAAAAAACCAACTGCGCAAACAGCTTTAAAAAAACAGAAGCAACAAAGGTTGATTTGCTAACTAGCTGAAGTTAGCAAGTAGCTTGTGTTAGCCTTGAAGCTCCGGGTATCCTGAAATGTGAGGCCGTGTGTCGAACAAAACAGAAGGAAGCCCGTCGGACGATTGTTCTTATCTTAAAACATGCAAGCTGTTGAACGGTAAAGTTAGCTACCACAGTTCATGTGTAGCGGCCCTTCAGTCCCAGTGCAACATGGAGGCTTTATGTGTTTTGAGTTGCATGTGAAGCGGGGGCACTCGGAGTGGGAGGGGGCGTTTTGTTTTCTGTGATGGATTCTCTCACTCAGCCTATGCAGCTGCTTGGACGAGGCTTCTCCAAGCTTCCTTTCCTCTTTACTGTTGTTTTATAAACTGAAGCTTTTTCTTATTAACAAATATACACGTAATAGAAACTGCGTTACTGAATACCACAAACCCTTTAACCGGCTCATGGGCAAACAACATCACTTTCAACAATCCGAGCAAATAGTTGACTGTAATCCAAAACCCTTAGGATAAGTGTGTGCGCTTTCTCCGTTTGTGGGTAATGTTAACAAGGCGATAGCGCCACCTAGTGTTTAAATCAGGCAAATGCTTCCATTAGGTAGAGCAGGGATGGGGCAACTTTGGTCACAGCAAGGGGCCACATTCATTTAATTCTCACTGCCAGAGGGGCCACATTGTAGGATACAAAAATGATTACAGGCGATTATGTCTCAAATTTAACTCAACATATACCAGTGATCAAATATTATTATGGACATATTTCTGTTTTTTTTATGATTTCATGGCAGATTTCATCATGTTTTCAATTAATTGATGTGTAAAAAATTGACCTGAGGGCCACGTTGAGGGTTGATGTGGAGCCGCATGTGGCCCCCGGGCTGCCACCTGCCCACCCCTGAGGTAGAGCCTACAATGCATTTATACAATAGGCCTAAAAGGCTATGAAGGAAAATATTATTGTTGCTACTGTCAAAGTTTACGACCATAAATCAGGTTTTAGAGAAGCTAAAAAAAATAAAAGACGTAGCCCTACATAAATAAAACCCATTTTCTCCTGTCATGTTATATCATCACCAATAAAATAATAATATATAATAATATTACAGTAGGCTTATACTGAATTGGTATTCAATTATATTAATCGTAGTTGTAATTGCCCTGGTGGCTTGCAGCCAAATATCATGGGTTATTTTGTGTTTGCATATATTTGTCTAAAGTTAGACCACTTGGTAACTAAGCTCAGGTACCTAATACACAAGTTATGAATTGGGGAAATTCAACATGTTAAAGCAGCTCAAGAGGCAGTGAAACAAGATCAATCAGTGATTAAAAAAATAATAAAGTAGGCTATTTACACTATGAAGCCTACACCTTTCACCAAATTCACATATTAGGCTACTTCGGTTGAATGCACAGACAGTCTACACTATATGATGCTATTTTGTCACATAGATAGATAGATAGATAGATAGGTAGATACTTTATTAATCCCGAGGGAAATTCAAAGCATCCAGTAGCTGTTTACAAAAGACATGCAGGACATGAAACATCTGTTACAAATAAACAAACAACCGCTGTCCCCCCTCCCATACATATATATTAACCCGAGACAAAGATTTAAGTAAGCCCTTACATGAAATAAAGTTAAACCTGTGCAATTAAAAATAGACTAAATAAACAATTACATAACCCCGTTCAGGAATAAAAACATATGTATATGTGTAATTTAAGTGGAACCTAACTGTTAAAGGGACATTGGAAAAATTAGACCTGTGCATAAAAATAAATAAAAGTGTAGACCTTCTGAAGTTTGGAAAAAAAATGAAAGTTTAGTCCAGAGTTTGCTTTTCTCCTGCCATACCAGTGAGGTGTTGTACAGCTGACTCTCATTACTTGAATGAGAGTCTTTACAGTACTTTACAGCAAGACACATGCATGAATATTACCATTAACTCAAGAATTAAGGCCTATAGTAAAAAAAAATATATATATATTTTCAGCTGTCAGTCATTATAAATCAGTTAAGTCCTAATTCAATTTCAAAACACACACACATTTTCATGTCCTAGTTCACGTGTATGATATCAGCGATATGTTGCATCACTGAGATATTGTCGGATCCTTTTGTTGCAGGGCGGTGCTTTCTTCCTCATATTAACCATTTGTCCCAGTGTGTTTGTTCGCTCCAGTAAGGTTTGATGGGCGCGCTGTGGACCACCCCTCACTGCGGTGCCTCAGTGAAGGATAAATATATCCCCCTCCCCCTCCTCCTCCTCCTCCACCTCCTCCTCCTTTCGTTGAGTCCGCAACATCCCGACTGGCCGAGGCTGGTGATCGTAAGGAGCGGTAGCGACAAAACACGGATGAATTAGAAAACCACGGCCAGCCCTCTTTTCTTTCATTTATTCCGATAGAGAAGAGTCGGGCTGTAAACACTGCTGCTCATCTTGACAGTGTGAAGCGGATACAAGGTTAGTAAAAACAAATGTATTTAAAAATAAAATAAATGTATAGGCTATATATAGGTTTAAACATAAAAGTGTGCAGAAACATCAATGTAAAAAAAACCTTTGTGTAACCAGCTCTGTATGCATGGGCAGTGAAACAGTAATCCTCTATTTGTATGCAGGAGGCTTTGCTGGGGTCCTGCTTAGCCATGGTTACATCTAGGCATGGACAAGTTGTTAGTCCAACTCCTTTAACTTTCTGAGCCTGACACACACTCAAACCCCAACACACTCATCAAGGTGTAAGTGTAGCATATTGTTCTCACAGAAAACGAGCTGTCTATCTGTTTTGTTACTCTGATGAACCATTCTTGGTCATTCCAGTCAGGGCTAAATATTCTGTGAAGTGATTCCCCAGCACCTCAGATCACATAGCACTGCAGCTGCCCTGCTGTACAGCAGACCAACTGCAAGAGCTATAATAGGAAGGAGAGGTAGGGTTGCGCAGCTGACGGTGCTGATTCCTCTGCAGTCCTATTTAAGTCACTGCCCTGTGGATCCTAAAGGCTTATTAGTGAAATGCCACCTCTTTCAAACACCTCTGTCTGTCTCTGCCATGAGGAACCTGTTCTAAATTGTAGGTGTTGTTCCATTTGGCTTGAGAAAGTGTTGCATGTAAAAACCCCACAGTGACATAAGCCTCAAAACCTTTTATGTTTTGTTGTGAAAATCAAGGTCTGAAACATGAGTCACATTATTATACCATAGCCCACACACTCTTAATGCAAAGCATGTTGGGAATGCCTTCACCGTAATGTCTCGGATTCAATTAAAGAAACATTTTCCTCTCAATCAATCGAATCTGAACATCATCCTCTAAACACAGGTTCAACCAAGCTTGATAAACACACAAAAAAACCAACATATTTTTGATCTTTCATATCTGGTTCCAAATGTTTTTTTTTTCTTTGCTGTTTGCCTTCAGTCATGTCGGATAACATGCAGCTGATTGCTTTTTTTTTACCCATTAGGCTTCCAGTGTGCAGATTCACCATGGGGATCAAGGCTGCCCTCCCCAGATATGAGCTGTATCTCTACAGAGTCGTTCTCGTCGGGGCCTTGATATGGGCAGGCAGTTGGATACTCGAGGCTTCAAGTGGTGAGTGCTCGACATGTCAAGAATTGTCCAAAGCACATGCCACACTGTTGATGTAACTCAGTTTAAAATCGATAACGAAATGCTGGAATGTAATCCACTTGTATCCATCAAAGTCAGGTTGAATGATGCTTTTTGGGCAGCTGCTCCGGAGCTGTATCTACTTTTATGAACAGAAAAACACTCCAGGAAACACTTCTAATTCAAATAAAACTTAACATGTAGAGACGAGAACTTATTACACAAGTGTCATGCCACACTCTGCTCTATTTAACCTAAAACTGCTCTGAGCAGATCACATTTAGCTGATTAAAAGAGACACCACCACCCTGAGGAATTCCTGCATATTCATATTAGTATGAGGACCGTTTAAAGACGCTCTAATTAGATTGTAATTATTTTTATGATAGAGATTTCTCAGTCTACAACTCAGAGACACTGACCCAATGTGTGCATGTCTCCACACAATAAAACGTTGAAACTGTCCTCCTAACTCACTGATTTGAATGCTCTGAGTGTAATCCAGTGAGTGGTACAGTCTGTCACTGTCTGAGCACTGAGGTTTGCAGGACCGTGTTGTTGTCGGTCACTGTTCTGTCCTGATTGTCTTTCTTCAGGAGATACTCTCTGTGTCTTGAAATGTCCATTTTTGGACGCTCAGTCTTGGGGCTTTAATGCTGCTCAGGTCTTGCACGCTACAGTAGCTCTGTAATAGAAGCCTGGCTGCGCTCCAAGGAGTAAGAGGCTTTCTCTGACCGACCCTCACATTTTTATTTCCTTTTTCACGGCTATTAGTGTGATCAGGCAGAGCAGGAGGAAGTACTATAAGAGGGTGTGGCGATATCTTTTGTTGTAGTGTGTTTAATATTGTTATTTCCAGCCGTTCTGTTTGAGTGTTTCATTCAGGGTAAAGAGTGAAGTAATCTCCTAAAACCAGGTGAGGAAAGTGTGAGTGTAGTTGTGTCAGCGTCCAAAATAGAAACACTTCACTATGAGTACTTTATGTAATATTTGAAATGATCAAAATGGGTTGAATGAGCTCTAACACCTTTAAATCCCTCAGAATAATCCAACAATTACACCAAAGATGTTCACATTTGACCCTAAAAAATTGAAGCTGCGATAAATCTTAGTGAAAAAGAACTCAACCTTGAACCATATATGGTCAGTCATTATTGAATTAATGTTTTTCAAGTGCACGGTTTATTATGTTTTGTTTGATAAATATAATGTTTTTTATTTCATTCAGAGAGTGTAAACAGAAAGGCCTTCAAGGAAAGCGTGAAACCAGGATGGCATTACTTTGGCAGGAAAATGGTAAGTTTGCTCATAAATAATCCTTCAACATATCTCGTTGTGTTCTATAAATGGACTTACAGATGCGAACACAGAGTGTTTGTTATTAATGCATCTTTTGTTTTTTGCCCCACAGGATGTTGCGGACTTTGAGTGGATGATGTGGTTCTCTACTTTCCGTAACCACATCCTTTTTGCTCTCGCCGGTCACGTTATCTTTGCCAAGATATTCACCCTGATAGCTCCAAAGGTGCGTGCATGAGTGTGCATGTCCATGAGCTAGCACGGTAATCTGAGTGCATACAGGTAAAACTGCATGTCTGCTACAGTGTGTAACTGTGTCTATTCAATATTTATGTATTATCTGTGAGTGATGTGTGCATGTGTTTGAGCTTTAACACACATTTTGCAAAAGACAAGGACGAACATGGAATTTCCTTTCATATGTGGAAGGCAAAAATGCAATGTACTGCTGTGAACACAAAGCCCTGGGCTGGTATTCTTCTCAGTCTGATTCAATGTCAGTCTTTCCTTTTCTGCTGAAACCAAAATCACTTGTTGTTCTTTTACCCTAAAACCTATCATACTGTTGCCTTGCTGCATGAGCATGACTTCCGTTCTGTGTAGAGAGAACCAGTCAATCCTTCATGTAAATATTTTGACATTTTTAAAACAATTCAATATGTTTTAAACATGTTTTCTGTCTTGTTTCATGCGTACAATGAAGATTGGTATAGAAGGATGTAAGGTAACATTAATAAACTTGTGAATTTTATACCATTTGTCACGTGTTTCATTTAATCCTTCATCAAAAACATAAATAGATAATATTGTATTTTACTAACAGACACAATGTAATCATTCCATCCTGATGATTTTCCATTGTGGTGTGTGTGTTCTTGAACTAACAGCACTCTTCATGTGTGTGGGATTATACATGATGAATAGTAGAGGCATCATGAGCTCACACTGACGCTGGCTCCTCTTTCCCCACAGCACAGATCCTTGATCTTTGGTGTGTATGGGGGTTTGGCGGTCCTGGTGACGATGGGCTGGACCTTCATGGCTCTGGTTCTGTCTCACTGCATCATCCTCTACAGTGTCGCTCTGGTCAAGAGCAAGTGGTTGAGCTTTGCGGCCGGCCTGGCCACACTAGCCTCCATCAAGCTGGAGCCTTATAACTCCTGGCAGGTGAGTACTTGTAGAAGTGTCTGTTTTCGGGTCTTATGAACTTTAAAGACCAGGAGGATGCTTTTAAAGGCAATTCTGCGCCAAGGAGGTTCCCATTAGAAAATGATATAATTGATACAATGCAGAAAGACCAGCGAATAAGACAATGCAGTAAAGTGCAAAGGTTTGGACAGTCAAAAGTAAAAAAAACATCCTGCTGAAAAACCATCATAACATTCAGTTTGAGTTTAAACTGTAGACATATAGCAATCATTCAATTACATTTGTATCTGTTGTTATTACATGTATAACTTCTATCTGTTATTGATGTATCTGATTGGCTCTACTTAACCCCCCCCCCCCCCCAAAGAAACCTTTACGTTATTAATGTAGAATTAGTCCTTACAGCTATTTGACGTACAATATTTACCAAAGCGCTTTCATCTCCCTCATCAGCTTTACTTAACTTCTATTTAACAGACACTTTAAAGGACCCTGAATGTGTTGAGGAATGACATCACTGACTGCCATGAGGGGTAATTTTTATATTACAGCAGCACTAGAGACAGGCTGAGACATGAACCTTCTTACTTTTAAAAATGAAATACTGTAAATAAAAAGAAAACAGACTGGAAAGGTTTAAACTAATATTATGTTATATCGGCGAGAATAAAAAATACCTTTGATTAAATGAAAAAGGTGCAAATATGTACAAAAATTAATACATATATATATATATAGTATGTAAATTTTAAGCTTCAAAAGCACTGAGACCACCAGCATTAAGACTGATTATTTTAATACCTGAAACCTCTGCTCTGTAGGTGTCAGATGAGGAGATTAAAGGATGAAACAGCCTTTTATTTGAACAGTTTCCTCAGATAAGATTCTCAAATAGTCAAACATTTGACTGTTATATTAAATTAGGATTTAATTAGTTAAAAAACGCAACTTATAAATGTACAGGAAGAAATCAACGAAGAGGTGAAAGGTACCTCCTTGTCCACATGGGTTGCTAAATCGACACAAACAGAGAGTTCAGAAAGTGGAAAAAAAAACAGGAAGTTTGATGTTAAACTAATAACGACTACATTAGCCTTAATACAATGTTATCATATTGTGATATTATTTTCTATGTAAAGTGTTGCTCCTACCTCTCTTGGAATGAGGCTAATGGTTATATATCCTATAGAAGATGGTGCAGGTGTGTTATTTAAAGTGCTTGATTTGCTATGCAACAGCCATACTGATTGACGGTGATACTACTGAAGAGACATCGTCCATATTCATAATGATGATGTTTGAGGCTCAGAATAACTCTCACCTCCTTTTCAGGAATCCTTAGTGACCGGCTCCTTTGACCTGCAAGACATCCTGTTTTACGGAGGCTGTGGCTTCAGCATCATGCGTTGTATGAGCTTCGCTTTAGAGAACTGTGAGAAGAAGGACGGAAACTACACTTTCTGTGACCTGCTGAAATACAACTTCTACCTCCCCTTCTTCTTCTTTGGACCCATCATGACCTTCGATAAGTATCATGTCCAGGTGAGGGTTTAAGATTCATCTGAAAATGTTGATTGACGAGAGGAAAGAATTAAAGTGAGCGAAATGTGAGCAGCCATGTCAAGTTTGACAATATCACTTCAAGAAATATATTTTTTCTGGGACGGTAACAGTAAAAAAAACTATTTAAAAACAACAACAATGGCTTGTCGAGTGAAAACTTTTGATTTCACAGGCGAACAACACCCAGCTGACCCGTAAGGAGAGAGAGATGTGGAACATCACCACCAAGGCTTTGTTGCACCTTGGAGGGATTCTGGTGGTGGACGTCTTCTTCCACTACCTCTACATCCTGACAATCCCTACTGACTTGAAGCTGGTTTCCAAGCTGTCCGACTGGTGTCTGGGTGAGTTTAACCAACTGTGTGTGAGAATAATAAGTCTGGTACATATTTAGTTTTTACATATACATACACACATATTTTTTTTAATCTTTTATAAGACAATTAAGAGACTATAAGGCTTTGACATTATCATTGTAGATCATTGAGTTTATTTTGCCAATTGGAAATTAAAAAAGATAAAGCCTAAAGATTAAAAAAAAGCCCAAACAAATTGATTGTGTCACATTTAACCTCCTTTTGGATACTTGGCTAAAAGCAGAGAAACATTTGGAATAGTGTAAATCGAGCCCGACTGATTTGGGATTTTCAAGACAAATGCTGATAGCATTTTTAAGAAGCCGGAGTAGCTCAGTCTGTAAGGATTCAGGTCACAAACTGGACGGTCGCCGGATAAAGTACCAGTACGGACAAAGTATAGAATTAGACTTGGTTGGAGGTGCCAGTTCACTTCCCAGGCACTGGTGAAGTGCCCCTGTGCAAGGCACTAAACCCTTACTGCTCTGGGCACCAGTCCTGGTGCAGCCCCCTCACTCTGACATCTCTCTGCATATGCATGTCTAGGTCCTGTTTGTGCTTTCAAGCCTATGTGTATAGTGTATCTTACTATAACAGAGAGTATAGTTCAATTTCCCTCTGGATTACTAAAGTAAAATATGATTTTAGGAATTCAATATTTGAGCTGGAATAAATAGGACTTTTTGATGGGCATTGCATTTTTTGCATTGTGTGCAATTTTTGGATTCAAATAACAATGCAAAGGTTCACAGATGACAGCATTATATATGAATAATTTTATCAAAGAATAATGAACATTATACATTATACATAAAAATGTCCAACATTTCTAGTGCTATCCTCCATCTGCTCAGCTGGGATTCTCTGCATACATGTCCCATTTGTTTAATAAACTTTATAAATCACCCTAACCATTGCTTTCTATTTTATTCTAACTAATAATAATATATATATATATATATATATATATATATATATTTATTTATTTATTTATTTGTTGGCCAATATCTACTGTTAATATCTGTGAGGTGATATATCAGTCAGATTCTTGTTAACCACCCACATTGAAACTTTTACCAAAAAAAAAAACATGTCATTAAACTTTGCAACTGTCAACATGTGGCCGTGAACTTTCTAACATTCAATATTTACCAAAAGGCTTACTGCATCACTTTCACCTGACATTTACTATTTATACAAACTGCCACTGTACAGCCTTTTGTTTCCATGTGTTCCTTTGCAGCTGGTTTGGCTTATTCCAACCTGGTGTATGACTGGGTGAAAGCAGCCATGATGTTTGGAGTCATCAACACCGTGTCTACACTGGATCACCTGGACCCTCCTCAGCCCCCCAAGTGTATCACCAAGCTCTATGTCTTTGCTGAAACGTACGTGTAGTTTTCAGTCTTTTTATTTTTATCGTGTAGTTTCTTTGTTGACCATGTCAACCATAAAATTGGGATAAATTTTAACATTGAAAATGTCTGTTTTTTTAGGCACTTTGACAGAGGCATCAACGACTGGCTGTGCAAGTGAGTGTTTAGATCACATAGCATCTGTTTATGTCCTATACAGTGCATAGAAGCAAATGAAATATGAGTTGTCATTTTTGCAGGTATGTTTATGACTTCATCGGTGGGGACCACGATAAAATCTTTAAGGAGCTCCTGGCAACCATCTGCACCTTCGCCATCACCACTCTGTGGCTGGGCCCGTGTCAGCTGGTCTATATCTGGTCCTTCTTCAACTGCTTCGGCCTCAACTTTGAGTTGTGGGTCGCCAAGTTCTTCTCCCTGCCTCCATTTTCTACCATAGAGGTGAGAGACACTGAGCTGAAAACCACTCTCTTTTCACACACTCTCATGCAGTATGTCATTTTGTGCCACATTACTTAACAAACACACTTCTGCGTTATATTAAGGGTGCAATGGGTGAAGCCATGTCGCGCAGGATCCGAGGTGTGTTCAATGCGGCCAACTTCTGGGCCATCGTCCTCTACAATGTTCTCGCTCTGAACAGTTTGGAGTTTGCCAAACTGGTGGGAAGACGGCTGATTTTCAAAGGTAGGAAACATGAAGAGCATATTATGAAAGTACAACTAAGGCTTCTTGTCACTTCTAGTTTAAGCAAGAGCAAAACCAACATCAAAAGAAACAGAATCTCAGGGCGCCCCATCCTCCTGATATCACATACACAACAACACAAACACAGCATCCTCTTTTGATGGTTTCTTTCACAGAGAATAAAAGAATCTTAATAAGAGAGAGAACTGACATGATGTCCCTTTAAAATCCTACTTGTCTAATGCTCTTTCTTCTCCTTTTCCTCTCTCTTCTTTTCTGCGTTTCACTCCCAGGTTTCCCTCTGTCCACCCTCTCAGTGTTACTCGTGACCTACTGTGGCGTGCAGGTGGTGAAGGAGAGTGAGAGACAACAAGCCCTGCTGGAGGAGCCGGAGCCCGTGAAGCCAGAAGACGGAGGCAAAGAAAAAGCCGAGTAAACAGACAGAGAAAGCGGACTTTCACTGACTTCACGGTCGACAGCGCCTCCCTCACATTGCTCCGTCCTCGGCCTTGCGAACCACACCGAATCTGACTGTAACATTCAGTCGACATCTATAATGTTCACAAGCCTGTTTTTGCTTTTGTTTGTCAGAAGCGAGGCAATGTTTTGAACTGTGAAAAGAAATCCTCAAGTGCACTTGCTGTAGACAATCACCACGTCCTTTGGCACAAACCAACCGAATGTGCATTTTGTATTTTATCTCAACTAAAAATTGTTTAACTAAAGGAAGGCCTGCCTAACATGAATGAGGCTAAACATAAAAGTAAATTTAAGGACATGCAGTATTGTAAAGGAACAACTACTTTGCTCTGTGTGGTTGTTTCCTGTGATCAGTTTCAGTTTTTTCTTAGACCCTTTTTTTAATCATATTCTGAGTGACAGGATTTTTCTTCTGTCAGACAGTGTCTTAATTTGCCTTACACACATTACATCCCAATCTACATGATGTTAACAACACTGAAAGGGTTCAAAACTTTAAGAATCTTAAAGTCAGGGACACATGAGTGCTATGAAGACAATAAAAGTTTGGTGCTGCAAGTGTACAGTATATTTACTCTACTGTCACCTAGCTAATATACAAGTCATTATGTCAAGGAGAGTCTATTTTAGAGGGGATTAAGAATGTACTGGACCTCCTAGGATTGCGAAAGATTGAATGTAGTTCAACCGTCTTGACAGCTTTACTGTACAAAATAAGATTTGCTGTTTGTGTGACATTTGGTCATGTCTTCCTCCGCCCTCTTTCACATGATCCAGGCCCTCTGTCGCTGTGAAAGGCGATCGGCCCACTCAGACTCCTCCTGCCTGTCACTAAAAGCTGCTGTGTGCCCTCAGTGCAGAAGGCTGAGAGAGGACCTGAATGCACAGACTACTACCTTTTATTCTTTGTAGGGTATTATGAAAGGGTGTTTAATTTAAAGATTAAAGATGTTACTTTAAACACGTTTTTTTCCTTCATCACAAAGTTTACAAGTTAAGCTCTAAGTTTCATTTGTGTCAGTATGTTTTATTCTGGTAAGCATGTCTTCATTAAAACATTTCAAAAATCTCTTTTGGTTTAGATGGATTGAAATGCATTAATCAGTTAATAAACACTATTCGATTTAATTTGTACTATAATGAGACATTTTCTTCTTTCACCACTAGATGGCCAAGTTTGATCAAAATTGTAGTTCACGTGAAAATATACATCCCTGCAAACCAGGCCCCATCTGCTTTCACTTGATCTGTCTCATGACATGCTTTCTTAAGGAACTCGATTGACATCTTCCTCATCTGTTAACTAACAATTAACAATAGTTGTATTCCCTTAAGCTGCTCCAGTGTCAGGGTGCTGCTGTTGGAAAGATCGTTTTCACATTGTCATGGTTTACAGGGACACTTCACTTGAGCAGAGCCATTGTTAATACCATCAGAAGTATGGAATGCCAGGACCCTCTATCTCTCCATAATTCCCTTTTTTTCTCTTTTCTCTATCCACTGTCCTAACTCTCTATTAAAGACACAAAAAGCCCAAAGATAAATCATTTAAAAAAAAAGAAAAAAAAAGAAAAAAAAAGATGTATGGAAAGCCGATTGAACATTTAATAGATATCCTTGATATCAAAGCTCAGTTTCTTGTACTAGTGAGGTCTTTGACTGCACTAGTTTACTAGTAGAACGCTAAAATATTTACTAGTAAACAAGTAGAGAGCAAAAGTTCCTACATGTTAACCAGTAAGGTGAAAAATACCTACAAGTTAACTGGTAAGATATATTTTGCGTCTACTAGTAAACCAAAACCAAAAATGTTCGCTAGTTAACTAATAGTTGAACTAGTTTGACTCAGTCTAACCTTACTTTTTAACTAGAGAGGTTCAAAATGTTTACTAGTTAACTGGTAGATATTTTTCACCTTACTAGTTAACATGTATGAATTTTTGCTGTCTACTAGTTTACTAGTAAATCTTTTAGCGTTTTAATAGTAAACTAGTGCAGTCAAAGACCTCACTAGTACAGGAAACTGAGCTTTGATATCAAGGATAGCTATTAAATGTTCAATCGGCCTTCCATACAGCAGTGTTGGGAGTAACACGTTACCTAGTAACGCATTACTGTTACTCTACTATTTGCAGTAACTAGCAGTGGATCTTAATTTCAAAATTCGAAAACAATGTTTCAATTACAGAAAAATAAAAGAACTTGTTACACGTTACGGAATAGCTGACTACTAAGATTGATGTTTATCAATATCCGATGTTACGCTAACGCCAGAGTGGTATCCTGGGAGAAAGAATGTAGCAGCAGTTATCACACACAATGGCTGATGATCATTAAGGCATGAGCTTTCTCTCTCCGGCATACCACAATGTTTTTCCTTCTCAAGATAAAGGACAAGAATATAGTGGTGGGTTATTGTCTAACTCTAAACTCATGAAGCACTGATTCAAACAACACACTCAATCTAAACTAGCTGTCAGAGAGCTCGGCGCTGTGAACACTGGTGACCAAGGGTCAGCTCATGTTAACCCCGCAGACCAAGGGGCAGCCACTCCATACAAACCGACAAGGCTTGATTTAAAATCATCCCCAGCACGACGATCTGTAAGCCAAAAATCTAATTAGCAAAATACCTACATATTACACAAACAACATACAGCATATTGCACATTACTCATATTGCACAAGATCCAAATGAAATACAACATAATCAGTGAAAAGATAAGAATATCAAGACGCTATTGCACAACCCATACCCCTCTTGAGAAATAGTGATCTACATCACATGTCAGAGTTGGAAGTAAAAGAGAAGAATACTCTCTGTGTCTGTATGAAGCAAAGTGGTGGACGTAATCTGACAACAGTTTTGATTCCTAACCCTGGATAGGACTTGTGTTTTTCATTTCATTTCAAGTTTTCAAGCCTTGTGATTGACTGTCGACCTGCCCAGGGTGTACTCCTGCAACCCACGACAACTGCGATCTGCTCCACTTAACCTCAAAAGGGGGTAGCGGTAAAGATAATGGATGGATGGATTTCAAAATTGTCAGCCAACGGGTGTAACTGTTGTTTACAGCTACCTGTTGAATACTGGTACGGTTACTTGAGATCTCGAGAAATTAACTCGTTATCGTGGGAAAACCAGTGTTGTTATCTCAGGATAATTATGTAAATAAACAAAAAAATAAAAATGGATGTCTTTACACTTAAGGCTTCCTAATGTATCATATTTTTTATTTATTTCACAGGGTTTAAAATTACTGATGAGGACAATTTGTCTGGTTATCTGAATTTTTTATTTTCATTACAAACCACTTTGTTTGTAACTGGTGTTATTATTTAAACAACTACAGAATAAATACTATTTATATTGTAGTTTTGATTACATTTTTTGGAATTTATTTTGCCATTGTCCTTTTCTCTGGGAGTCTCTAGTGATGTAAATGGAAGGAACATTATGCATAAATGAAGAGTGAGTTATATCTAGTGAAATGTGTCAGCGTCTGTGTCTGAACCTGATGAAGGTTCATGACGATGTTGTGACTAAACAATACTATCAAGTGTTGTGACCATGCCTGGTGCGTTTAAAACATGAGTTTGTGCCTATTTCTGGTTTCAGGAGGGATTCATTATGTAACATGCTAATCTTCCAGGAACTACAGTTGCCGATAAACAGTAAACACTGCCCTGTACTGCTAACAATAAATGCACTGTTATTAAATGCTCAGTGTCCATGTAGCCATTTTATTCACTTTAAATATGTCAGTTGAGTTGTTTCCCCAAACATTTTTTTTTTCCATTTTTCAAATGGTATAACAGTTATAAAACATGTTAAATGACGCAACTAAAATAACGAATATCTACCATTACAAAAGAAAAACAGACAGAACCTAAGAGGGAAACAAAACAAGAGATAAAAACCCCATTTCCTGGTTATGCTTATTTCAAGGTTCATCTTCCAGAGTATATATGTTAGTGTTTGATCACAGAGACAAAAACAACTTGTTGGAAATATGTTAAATACCAAAGCTTTATGTCAGGCTTCCTGTTGAGTTGTCCTGCTGATTGAACATGCCCCCCCCCCCCCCCCCCCCGCTTAGTCACTCAGCTGTTTGTGGGGGTCTGTGTGCTGCAGTCAGGATCCACCTCTTTGTGAGGGTCCTGTCTATAAATACCCCTGACTTACAGAGTGACTGACAGCCTTGGACAGCTGCAGCCACCAGCCAGCCAACCCGTGTGGACCATCCCTGGCCATCTGAGACGCCCTGTGAGCGCTTACAGTCCTGCGCTGTAGTGAGTAAGACGGGAGCCCAACCAGGACCAAGAGAATCGGACAAGATGGCTGCCCTGACTATAGACCCGGTGGAGCAGCCTCGGATGTACCAACAGACCCTGCTTCAGGACGGACTGTGTGACCTCTTAGAGAATGACAAGTTTGTGGACTGTGTTCTCAAAATCCAGGACAAGGAATATCCCTGCCATCGCTTGGTTCTGGCAGCCAGCAGCCCCTTCTTCAAGGCCATGTTTCTGTCTGACCTGGAGGAGAGCAAGAAGAGGGAGATTGTCCTGAAAGATGTAGAACCAGGAGTAATGGGGATGATCCTGCGCTACTTGTACACATCTGACATTAGTCTAACAGAGCAGAATGTGCAGGATATATTCATGGTTGCTAACATGTACCAGATCCCCTCCATCTTCTCCGTGTGCGTGTCCTACCTCCAGGAGAAGCTTGTTCTGGGGAACTGCTTGGCGATCTTCAGATTGGGACTCCTTCTGGACTGTCCCCGGCTCACTCTGCCTGCTCGGGAGTTCATCTGCGAACGCTACCAGGTTGTCGCCAGGGACCAGGACTTCCTGCAGCTGGGCCCAAGCGAGCTGGCCATCATCATCACCTCAGACGCCCTCAACGTGGAACGAGAGGAGCAGGTGTTTGAGACCGTGATGGATTGGGTCAAACACGACGAGACAAACCGAGTCAAAGAACTGCCTGAGCTGCTGCATTGCGTACGCTTCAGACTCATACCTCTGGATTACTTCAAAGAGAAAGTAGAGCGTCATCAGTATATACAGTTCAGCCAGGAGCTCAAGAAGGACCTTGAACTCGTCAAGGATGCCTACAAAGGGCGTCTCCCGAAGCCAAGGAAGCAGAGCAGTGACAGGGCTAAAGGGGGGGAAGGAAGTGAAGAGGAAGACGAGGACGAGGAAGAGGAGAAGGAGGAGGAGGAAGGGTACCTGCCGGGGATACTCAACAACAACCCTCGCTTTGGGATGTTTGAATTAGACTTAATACTGATGATTAGTGACACGGGGACTGTGGCCTATGACCCAGTCGGGAATGAATGCTTTGTGGTATCAGAGTCGACAGAAATCCCCAAGAACCACTGCAGCCTGTCGACCGAGCAGAACCAGGTGTTTGTTGTTGGAGGACTTCTCTTCAACGAGGAGGACAAAGATGAACCCTTCACCTCTTACTTCCTACAGGTAGGTCAAAATGTTTCTTTCAATTTATCACTAAGTGAGAAATGCTTTAAACCTGCTTCCAAATTTTCTCGCCCATGAATCCTCACAACGTCTTGCTTTGTTCCCCAGTTTGACCCGGTGAGTTCGGAATGGTTGGGGATGCCGTCACAGCCGAGCCCTCGCTGTCTGTTTGGGCTGACTGAAGCTGAAAACTCTATCTTTGTTGTTGGAGGAAAGGAGCTGAAGGATGGGGAGCACGTCCTGGACTCAGTTATGATCTACGACAGACAGTAAGCCCTGAATATATGACACGTTTTTACTTTATGGGATGGGTTTTACTTAAAAGTTTCAGGCCCTTTCACATTAAAAGCATTGATAGTATTTACATGAAATTACATTTATTTATTTATGTATTAAATAAATAAATGGATCTAATCTATTTATTTAAGTTTTTTTCCAGACTTTGGATTTAAATGTATTTTAATTTGTTATAAGGTGCATCTTTTGCCTACTGTTTACCTTAATCATTCTTTGAAATCTGAAAATTCAAAATCAACAAATCTTGAGTTATGTGGTGTCCTTTGGGAAATGGGTCTACAGATTCACCTTCATCATCTAAAGGGTCATTAATAATTTATCCTACTTTCTGTAACAGGTCATTCAAATGGGGAGAGTCGGACCCTTTGCCTTATGAAGTTTACGGACATGGAACCGTATCACACAAAGGTCTAATCTATGTCATTGGAGGAAAGTCTAAAAGCAAGTACGTTTCACTCTTAATCTACAAACTGTATATTATTTTACCATCTGTAAATGGACTTCAGGGCTTCATTTATACAATATGACTACTGTTACAAGTTTCCCAATTTATATGTGCAGTATAACAAACCAAAACCTTTACATATGATGTTTTAGTTTGCTCTGTTACTCCTTTTGAAAACAACAGGTACCATTTGGATTTCACAAAGCTTGAGATTCATTTAATTAGTCAGTATTAAAGGTGTACTCAAGTGATTCAGTACCACACTTCTGTAAATATTTGGAACAAAAATCAAGGCAGCAGGAGCCGATGTATGCTGACTTTAATTCAGTCTTTATGAAGCATAATCCAGAAACACCAGGCCCTACATTTTTCATAAAGCAACTGCATCTTTTGTGACACCCTTTCTGTCTCCTAAATGCTCATATCTTTCATTAAACTACAAAACTCTAATTTTATGATTCAGGCTTCTGGATGAAAATAAATAATAGTTTCATGTCCAAGCAAACCTGTGCAGCAAAATTATTCTGAGCATTTTAATTATTCTTTACAAGTTATGCATTCATAGCTGTAGTTTATATGCTGGCTCTATCGGACACTGGTGGATCTTTAGGCACACAATGCCCTCTCGTTCCATTTAAAGCTCCTGTGAGGAACTTTCTGCTTGTGTTATTATGGCGTCCCCTGTTGACAAAGTGGTAAATCTTATCTCTGTAATTTTTTACGTGATTAGTGTTTTTAACGCACACAAAAAATCTCATCCTTCTGTTGTATCGTATCACTCTTTGAGAATCTTTACCGTAGAAAAGTGATCAAAAGTCTGTATCAACATCACCTTGTCTGACACCTAGCTTTCTTACTGTGGTTTTAAGCATCTATAAAAATTTTGAAAAGATCAGTCTTGTCTCTGATGGTCTTGTTGTAAGTTATAGGGCATTATTAAAGATGTCAGCCTGTTTCATAATCAGCTGAAAACTTATTTTACTTTATTTATATACTGTAGTTGATCTTTAGAGCTCCTTTGCAGAGTTTTTAACTGGTTATGAAATTAAATGAAATTAACACTGATGTCTCCTATGCGACGTATATAAGCAAACGTGACCATCTGCAACAAGATTGATCTTTTTCATGTTGTTTTTATTTAAGCCTGAAACTGATGACACAGGGCTGGTGTCAGGCAAACAATTAACAGCATGCTGAAAGAACAGCCTCTTCTTTTTACTCTCTTGTTTTTACAGAGATTCTTAATAAATTTTGAATTTGAAAGTTAAAGAGTAAAAAGTCTGAGATTTACTTTATTTTTTAAAAAGACACTACTTATGCCTGCACAGGACATAAGAGGTACAGCTTTGTCCACTGCGGGCACCAAAATGATTACAAACAGGAAGTTCTTTAAAAGAGCAAAAAGAAAAGTTGTGTTAATAATTTGTTCCTGATGGATTTGGAGTCTGAGCAGTCCTTGTGACTTGTTAACTTTGTTTATTTTTTTTTTTGTAGGAAATGCATGAAGAGAATGTGTGTCTACAACCCAACTAAGTTTGAGTGGAAGGACCTTGCTCCTCTGAAGACGGCTCGCTCTCTGTTTGGGATCACGGTCCACGACGATCAGATCTTTGTGATGACGGGGGTCACAGACTCCGGCCTCACCAGCTCTGTGGAGGTTTATGACATCGCCACCAACAAGTGAGTATATGTTTTTTTTTATATGAGCCACTTTATGTCCATGTTATGAGGTAAAGCATCTGTCCCAAGTGTGAACAACAGATCATAAAACAGCACTCATTGTCCTGTGTGGGTGTCAATCAACAATACAGTAGTAGATTTAACACCATCATCACTTCTGTGTGTGTGTGTGTGTGTGTGTGTGTGTGTGTGTGTGTGTGTGTGTGTGTGTGTGTGTGTGTGTGTGTGTGTGTGTGTGTGTGTGTGTGATTGTCCTCTTGTACTCCAGGTGGTCTGAGTTCACAGAGTTCCCTCAGGAGCGCAGTTCCCTCAGTCTGATCTCGATGGGAGGTTTTCTGTACGCTCTGGGGGGTTTTGCCATGATGCCCAGTGAGACCAGCGAGAAGCCGGTCCCCACAGAGATGACCGACATCTGGAGGTACAACCACCTACATTCACTTGATATGAATTATGAGGAATTATAATGGGATCAAAATGACTGAAATATGAGAGTAGCCCCCAAATCTTGACTTTCTTTAATATTACACTGTTCATAATCAATAGGTGGTAAACAAGAGATCTTTTGGCTGTTTTTAGCTTAACTGAAAGATTTTACCCAACATATATATTAGTACCCCCATGCAGGGGTGTGGGACTGTCCCAACTGGGGTGCTGGCTTATGCAGGGATGGAACAAAACATTTGTATTTTTAATAAAACAAATTAGTATAAAGCATAAACTCTTTCTTTGTCCTCTAGTCATATCTACATTAACTACATCAAAAAGATGATGTCATCCTTGGTATTTTTTATTCATTTCAAAAGTAACACAATAGAGGGGCAACACATATAGATCGTCTTTGCTTAATTCTTTAGGAAGATGTTCATCAAAAGTCACAATTTTAACTTCTGACATATAAATGTCACATTCAAATGAGAAGCAAGCTACAAGCAGCCTGTTGATACATGGCCCATATATTTTATTTCCCCGCCTCTGGCTCCAGGGGTGACGAATCAGATTTCAAGGCCCTGCTCCATTTATTCATCAGTTACAATATAATAACATACAGACTTGGATAAATAAATATGTCATAGAGTTTAAGACCAAATTAACCGATTACACCTGATAGAATCAAAAAAAAAAAAACATGCATTGATGAATCCCCTTAAAAATGAACCACTTACTGACAGACAGGCGTGACCAAAGCCTCACATAGCTTATTTGTCTGTGTAATGGAGCTCTACAAATGCTCTTTTCATGTTCACACGAGCCTCACATGTGTATTAATCAGCTGCTGAAAATAGACCCACAAAAATAAATTGTTTTCTCCTGTGTGTACCTGATCCACACTGCCCACTGCCCACCGTGAATCACTGAGTCTGTTTGAAAATAAACCTGAAGTTTCTGTGACTTGTTTCAAACGTTTGTGTCTTTATAGTGAACACAAACCAGTGCATTGTTAGTTTTGGTCTTTTCGTGAGATCTGTTGCCAAATGAGGAAACTAAAGAACAACAGTATACTTATGATAGAATAAAAAAAAAGGCCACACACGCCCCCACAAGATCCGTGCATTACGTTATTATAACATCTCTACCTACATGAATAGCTTGCAATAAAGTCATCAATTCACAAAGAAGGTATAGAATAATGACAAAAGTTGTTCCTGTAAAAAAAAAAGTAACTTCACCTTGTAGTAAAATAAAAAACAAGCAGCAGTCAGTCCCTTTTGTCTTCCAACAAAATTAACTTTTACCTGAAAAAAATAATCAAAACATTTTTCATAAATAACTAAGAAAGAAGTTTTTTGCGTGTTGCAGCAGGAGAAGGAAATATATCGTATTGCGACATAAGCCCTTTATTTAGAATAATGTAAAACCATGTGTTTCATTAGGTTACATTAATGTTATCACAACATTAAAGGGAACGTAATATACAAAATACACTTTACCAAGGTTTCAGAACACTTATAAGTGTCCCTAGTCTGTCTGAACCCCCCAATGATGAGAAAAGTCCATCCTCTCCGTCTTTTCCCTGTTCCACTTTTCAGAAAATGTGTGCTCAAACAGGCTGTTCTGAGATTTTCACTTCATGACATCACAAAGGGCAGTAACCCCTCCCCCAAGGTGGTTGACACTCCAACAGCTGGTTGTTTGTTTTTTGCCTTCTCACTGTAAACAATAGGACAGTGTGCAAGGTAGTCCGAGTCACCAAAGCCCTTCAAGAGGGGCGTGGCCAAACACAGCTGACCTGTATTTAAAGCTACAGACACGGATACAGTCTTTCCTGACCAGGGCTGAAATAAAAGGGGTTTAATAGGCATGATCAAATACAGGATTGGAGTTGAGATTTAGCAAGAAACTTCACAGAAATGTTTTTGAGAGCTCTGACACTTATTTAAACAGTTTGAAAATGAGAATAATATGTGACCTTTAAGGCCACATTATCATCTATTTTGTGTTTTCCTCCAAACAAAAACCTTAAATCTGCTCCTCTGCGTTCAAGTTACATACAGTATTAGTATTAAGGTTGTGGTATTTTCCCATTAAATCACAGTCACAGCTGTTGTTTCTTATTAGTATTAAGTATTGAGCCATTGCTATGAAAAGTTGAAATCGATACTGTAAATCAGGGATATCATTATGCAACTAAAGCTGAATGTACAGTAGACATTCAAAGGGTGAAAAATAAACTTCAATAGAAATTGTTGAAATCGTTGTTCTTAAACTACCAGCCTTACTCCAACAGAAAAATGCCTTTCATGTCCTAATCTTTCTTGAAGTGCTTTGAGACTTGACTGTGTGTTCTCACCGTATTACATCAAATGGTGCTGTAAGGTTTAAACACACTGTCACATGTATGTTTCCCACAGGTATGATGAATCAGAGAAGAGCTGGAACGGGATTTTGCGAGAGATAAGCTACGCAGAGGGATCCACTATCCTGCCAGTGCGCCTCAACACTCTGCGTCTCACCAAGTTATAACTGAACTGTTGGTGCTGTACACCCAATGTTGTCACATGAGCAAGAACATGAGGGTACTCATTTTGGACATTGGCACAAACATTGGCTTTAGGTGCAAAAAATGTTTCAGGGCAACAACTATATGTGTGAGGAAGAGAAAGCGTTTCAAGTTGTTGTTTCTTATATTTACAGCAGGGGGAGACATATACGTGCTGAGTATGTAGGAGAGGTGACTGTATCCAGTTTGAATTTCACTCTAAATGTATTTTATAATAAAGCTAAAATGTTTCTTTGTAAATGTGTTTGTCTTTTCTTTTACATTTTCTTTATTAGTTGTTTGCCTTATGTGATGCTGCAATAAAGATACGGGCTCAGTGTATCGATTTAAAGTGACGAGTCTCTCTGACAGGAGATTTGTTCACTGTGCAAGATTTTTATTCACCTTCATCATTTTGTTCAATAACATCTTTTCATCTGATTCCACACATACAATGTATTTACATAAAATGTACATAGCAACAAATACTACAACCTTATTGACATTATGCAAACGGCATGTGTGAGGAATGTACAGTTTTAAATGTAAACGTCGATTTCCAGTTGACACCTGAGCACAACAAGCCAACAACACAAAATACATTACAGATCAATTCTTCAGCTGTGTTTACGGTCACACAGTATTTACAACTGCTGTAATTTAAAAATGAATCTGCGATTCTTTGACTTTGTCTAAATTCAGTTTCAGGTTTACAGAACAGGAAGAAGGGACTAAAGTGAACATCATGCAGCAACATGAAATGTGAACACGTTTTTAAAATGTCTGTTTTGAGGCAAGAGGTGGATTTACATCTTATATGAAGGAAGAGAAAAGTGAAGTTACAGCCATCATCATCATTCTTTACAGTGATCAATCCTATAACATCGACAAAATGAAGAATCTACAGTCAAGCTCTGTGTGAAGCAACGCTTTCAGTTTCATGTTCACACTGGCAAAGCTTACATGCTGAAGTTTAGAGCGTTAGAAATGTTATTCTCACATTTTAGCGTGCTTACATAACACACAGTACAGCAGGGGTTAAGGGGAATGTCATTAGTTTTGCAGCTAGTCATGATATACTGGACAACTTTAAAGATTTCTTCTGATGACAGCACTGAATGAAAAGTTAAGGCATAACCGTAATCATTAAAAGTCATTTAAATTATATTTTATGGTAATCCATCAAATTATCATTGAGACTTTTCCCTCGAAACCTCAAATGTAAACTCTGTGGTAGCAACAGAGGAAAAGTCAGGGGACAACCAAAGTCATGAGGACTCTTCTACTGGGAATAATACACTTCTTTAAAAAAAAAAAAAAAAAATGTCCCAATCAGTTTGTAAATTACGACAAGAGGAAAATCTGACCTTCTGGTGGAGCCAGAGGAAAAGTCAAAGGGTCATTCAGATTCTTCCTCTGGGGGACCATGAATGTCTCAAAGAAACTGATGTTGATCCATCTCAGAGTTTTGGAGATATTTCCGTCTTGACTGAAGTGGTCTAGGAGCGTTGCCACTAACATGGCTAAAAAACAACGCGGCACAATAATAAAGTTATCTAATCTGTACATATGGAACAGTATACGATAGACTACATAAAAAACAATCAATTAAATTAAATGAATCGTGCATGCAATCCAGTTAATTGAAAGTAATCTCTGCTGACATGTTAATGGACAATGTTGTGTAGTGTGGACTAATAACTGAAAACATCTGCTCCATTAGCTGCAGAAACGGTCAAAATGAACATCTGCAGAGGCACTGTGCACTCAGACTAAACTAAAAGCTTCTGTAATCTGAGATACATTGCAAAAACAGGATCTTTTTTTTTTGTTTCCTCTGGAATGTTATCCGGCAGTAATTCAGCTGAGTGTTTGCTCCGTATAAAACTGTCTTAGACAGGAGGGGAACGTTGACTACACAGGTTATACTATAGAGTCCTCCTCAGTGAAAACATGACAATGTCATTCATGATGTTACTACTGCTCCTCTTAGCGACACAGGCCATTAGGTTAAGTGCTCCGAGTTCTCCGGTGCAACACACCCTTTTAATAAACATCTTCTTCCTATAGGACACAGCTCGTCTCTCGTTCTTATCCATCGCAGCTCCACATCAGATGGAGCCGTAGAAGCTGTAACTGTTTACCTGTGTATCAACACTAAACGTTTAATACAGTAGGAGAACAGTGTTTTATAGTGGTCATGTTTGTGTGTTTTTAAGACATTCATTGCTAACGTGAACTTAAATATTACACCCATTTACTTAGCTGGTCCTGTCTGTTAAAGTGGTTTCAGTGCCTTTCACTGATCACTTGTCGGCTTCAGCACTAAAATGTCAAATTGTCCTTCAGTAACCAGATTTACCTGCATTGCAGCAGCACATTTGGAGCCATGCTTTGAGTAAAAAAAATGAGAAAAACAAAAAGCCGACTTGTTAGATGGTTTCAGATGGCAGAGAGGTGCTCCTGACACTCCAATGCCCGTCGAGATGCGGGGCTGCATTTGGTCAACATGGATATCTGGGTGCTGAAGTTGTTGCCGTTGCTGCCAATAGAGGGCTGCTGGTACTTAGTCCCAGCACCCAGGAACCTTTGCAGCATCCATCTGCGCCACTTACGCTTGATCTCCGCCTGTACCTGAAAGAGAGGATGAGGAAGAGGATAAACAGGATTAGGAGGGGGCGTTAAAAGGTGGGATGGCACACAGGAGGGAGAAAATGTGATTTAGTGACATAAAAGGAGAGTAAACATCTTGAAGAGATGTACTCACCTCTCCATTTAGAAAGCAGTACAAAACAGCAACAACAAAACCCTGCAAAAGAGACAGAAATCTAGATAAAATAAGAACTGCTTTTCAAAGACATACCAGTGTGATTTGATAGTATGGCTGGGGAAACACTCAACATGCTTGTGCATGAATAATGATGGTAAGATTATGACCATCTTGAGGCTCTAGACAGGAGGTTCATCATGCAGATCTCTGGGAAATGTTCCCAGGAGATATCATAGTGAGCTTAAATGGTTATAAATTAAAAATACTTTCCATAGGAATCATTCATTGCACTTGGCTCTTAACATTCACATTCAATTTCATTGTCAGTAAATCAGTAACCTCATTCCTCTAGCATATAAAACATGTCAGCTAAACAAACAAGTTATTTGTTTTTATCGGGACAAAATTATCTTCATTTGCCAAGCTGTTATCTTCTTATTTCACTGCTTTCTATCTGGTGCCACACATAGACTTTATATAACTATGGATGAAACATCTCCATCTCCTTCTGTTGGAAAGTGAGGCCAAATACCTCCACGACGGATGCAAACCTATTGTGCTGTTGATGTTATTTGGAGCCAAGACACATGCAGAATGAATCAATTGGTAAAATCAAGTTAGATCCTGTTCAGATCCTTACAATTAGCTAATGTCAAAACCGGACGCTGAGCTGACGTCATGTCCCATAATTTGGCTAATTTCAGAACCTGACACTGAGTTGGCATCAGACCTGGAGCTTGGGCTGATGTCAAAACCTGATGTTGGGCTTAATTAAAAAACACTTCAGTCAGCATGATAATAACTACAATGACAGAAACCATGTTTGAGAAAACAATTATTTGACGTGTATTTTGCCCCCTTGTTTCATCTGTCAACATTGTGGAGGCAGGACCTATACTGCAGCCAGTCAACAGGGGGCGATCTAAATCTTTTGGTTTCACTTCTCAAGAGCTCTTGTGCCATCCATTTTTATACAGTCTATGGTGCCACAACACAAGATGGCCATTGTGCACACAGCAAACAAGAATTAGAAGCATCAAATCCTTTAATTAGTTATAAAGCAGTGCTGCTTTTGTATTACATTTGTATAGTTATGTGTCTGACAGCTTGTATCCCACATTGTGTGCTGTTATATGAGATTACCTGAAATGACCCCAGAATAAGATCGAACACCATTCTCACTTGGGGGTGGATGTGGTCAGGGATGAAGGCAAAAATTATGTAGTTTATTCCAAAGAGAGGGATCAACAACAGCGTGGATTTAGCCAGTCTCCTAAAAACATAAAGAAATGTATTCAACAAAAAGAGTCCATCCTTTTTGAAAAAGACACAAAAGATAGACTGCGGGTTATACTTTTAACTTAAAAATAATTTAATTTCTACACTTACATTCAGTGTCACCTCAAATAACAATATAACTGTACCCCATGATTCAGAATCAGAATCGGGTTTTATTGCCAAGTACATTTACACATACAAGGAATTTGACTTGGTGTATTGGTGCTAAACAATTAACAAAGAAATAAAGCAGAACTAGCAACAACTTAAATAATACAGTATAAGAAGATATTACAATATTTAAAATAGAATTTAAAAATGTAAAATATATAAAAAAAAAACACAATGTACAAAAGGTGCAATGTAGGAGCTGGTAACCTACGAGTACTGATTGGATTCCTTTCTTCCGATGTCGGGGCAATTCATTTTCTGTCGCAAAATCCGGATAATACGGATGAAGAGAAAAAAGTTCACCTGCCAAGGTAAAAGGGGGATGAAGAAGATTTGTTGATGTAATCAGATTATGCAGAGATGTTTATAAAATGTTGCTCGTGAAAGAGGCGTCGTGACTCACAAGTATGGTTACTAAAATAGGTGTCTCGATGATCCACCATGGCCTATCATTAATTATATCCCAGCAGCTGTTAGAGGAGATAACAGTGTAAATACATACATATTCTTTTGATTAAAAAAAACTAACTTTGCTACAAAGGCAGCGAGCATCAACTACATGAACAGAGGTAGAAAAACATTTAAAACTGAGGCCACACAGAATGAGTTTTCTTCATGACGACTAATGAACTCACATGATGAACATTGGCTCAATATGTTTAAATATGCGACTTCAAAGTGTCTGAGTTTCCTTTAAAAGAAAAAAAGGAAACAAAAGCTCTAAAATATGACAATGACGTTGTCTTGTGATGTCATGAACGAGGTTATAAGATTGAAAAAAAAGTCGGTGAAAAAGCATAAGAGGAAATAGCTAGGTTGATGGTACATCAGGCTGAAAGGAACTAAGAGCGAGTAAACATTAAAGGGAACACCGGGTTAGAGAAGATCTGAGCGAGGAAAAGAAGGGACTGAGAGTACATAGGCAAAGGGATTATGAAAGTTGAGTAACAGGGGAGTGAGGGAACATAAGGGATATCAAAATGGGCATCTCAACACGGGGTGTGTCCATGACTTCCTGCTTGCAGCTTTTTGCTCGTCTGCATCGGCTTTATTTTTTTATAACAGCGGAGGTTGCCGCGGAGGGAACATAAGGCTGAGGGAACAGAGAAATAAGATAACACCAGGGGATATATTGGATTGAGTAAAATGGCATGGAGAGAACATAGTGCTGGGGGATCATTTGACTGATAAACATGGGGGTGAGGGAACGCATGGGTTGGGGAACATGAGGCTGAGGAAACATTGGGCTGAATTGCAGAATTAAAGTTAATATAAGGGAACAAAGTGTGAAGATCACATGAACTGAGGGAACACAGTGATGAGAAAACCCATGGTGAGTTCACAAAAGATGAAGGAAACATGAGGTTAGAAATCAAAAGACGGTGAGGGAACTTATTAGGAAATTCCACATTACTTATAAATGCTGTTTTAATTTTAATTTAAAAAAATCTGTTTTCCTGTTTTTTTTTTACTTTATAAAAATGTATTTAACGCTCAGCTCTTCATTTATTCGCAATGATGTTTGAATCCACTGAGAACCAGCTTATCATCACAAGAACCTTTTTATTTTTGTTTTTGAGTGTGTAAGTGCCTTAAAAAAAACACACAAATGACTCACTGACCCCGGATCATTTAAATAAGCCTTCGTAATCACCCATGCTGAGATAAAGATGGTTGGAGCACCTGAAATGAAGAAACATAAACAGAACTTGTGTAAATGATTTCAACATTAAAATAACAAACACTAGTATTAATATCCACAGAGTTCAAACAACCAGCATGTTGACTCAACAACACCAAAAAGGAAAGTAAGGCTTGAGCTTGTGCACACTGATTCTCTTTTTGGAGTCATTTATAGCTTCAGTGATATTGCTTTTTCGGTATGCATATCATTGTTTTTTACTGAGTGCTCCGTGCCAATATTTGCTTATCTTTGGTATCTGCAGGAAAGTCACAGGCTTGTTTCCATTTTCCGGCTGGTAGACACAACATCTCAGGCCTATTTATAGAGTCATTTTATTGCTGAGAAGAAAACAAGAAATTTGGGGAATGAATATTGAATATACATGTCTTAAGAGCAAGTAAGATGGAAAGTAAAGCCTGGAAGGCCAGAGTAATTGTTTGAAGGAGGAACATGGACAAAATATTTAAAGTTATTTTCTTCTGGCTTTTATTGGAAAGGACAGCTGAATAGAGGCAGGAAATGATGGATTTGAACCTGTGGCCGCTGCAACTGTCAGGAAAAGGGGAAGAGGGATACAGTTGCAGACCACCTCAGTGAGAAGCTAGAAAGTGTTCCCTCACAGAACTATAGCCTCCATATAAGGGATGCGCAACATAACCGCTCGGCTATTGGCGCCCCATGGACAAAATATTTAAAGACGCTTTTAAGGCTAGGCTAATAGTCCTGGATGAATACAGTTATTTTATTTAAAAAAGTGCTTACAAAATGGCATCTTATTGAGAAATGTATGTATCTAATAGAATATTTGAAATGAAAAAGAAGTGTTGGATCTTTCATTTGGTAAATGGAAAATGGACTCGAGCATGTATATCAATTTTCTAGTCTCCTGACTACTCAAAAATCTTTAACACCGCAGGTCACACCTACACATTCACACACTGATGGCAGAGGTTGCTATGTAAAGTGTAAATCCCATTCATAAGCATTTATACGAAGCAGCGGGAGCAACTTGGGTTTAGGTGTCTTGCCTAAGTACACATCGGACAAGTGGCTGCAGGAGCTGGGGGATCGAACTCCTGACCTTCCGTTTGAGAGAAGACCAACTCTACCACTGAGCAACAGCCGACCCAATTCCCTTCAGTTCAGCATTTATTTATGTTACATATTCTAAATTGTCTTTTTTTTCCTATTAAGAACATCAAAAGCATGGCAGGAGATGAAATTATAACAAGAGCAGAGTGCCAGCTGCTGCTCATCTAAAGCTGGATGCAAGACTCATTCATATGCAGATTAAAAAGACAGAGTATTTTCCTGTGAATGAACAAAACATCGCTCATAAATTCATGTACATTTGATCATGTGTGCTGTGTCTCTTCAGAGTAAAGACAAAACAGACATCTGAGTCGCCGGGTGATTGTGACCTGATGGGGATTTGAGTATTTAATGTTGCTATTTGTGATGGATCAAATCTCCTCGCAAACGATCTGGTGTTAGTATTCATCGACATATGGTATAGATGCTGCATGGCACGTACCCCAACCAATCAGGATGTACCACCAGAAGTACTTCCTCTCAGAGAAGAAGGAAACGGCTAAGAGAGTGTGGAGATAGAAACCCTCCACCAGCAGCCAGAAGAAACTGGCCATGATCCCGTACTGGAAGAAGACCACCACGGCCTTGCAGCCCACCTGCGGTAGAACAAAGACATTAGTGGCTCATTTCATTGTGAGGGATTGTTATCATTACATTGAAAGATGAAGACAAATGATGTTGCCAGTTCATGAGGCAACACAGAGAAAGCTTTTAGTAAATTACTCTCAAATTAGTATTGATGCCTCGCTTATAAAAAAAACGATCTGTTAGGCTCAGCAGTCATTTGTTATAAGGAGCCACGAGGAGACTAATTATCACAGGGAATATGAGCACATTAAGATAACAAGAGGAAACACTACAGTGGGGCTGATTACACTAATAATGATTGCTACACTGACTTAATGTGCAATCAAAGTATATTTGTGATTCATTTTTATATCTGAAGCCTCCAAAGAAAACAAATATCGTGCTGCTGTTTGCAGCTCAGCGGGTGTTTCACTCAAAAGAAATGGTGGGAAACACACTGATTCACTTACTCTGTTACAGTTACTCAATAGCTTCCAGTGACAGTATCACAAGAGAATAATGTAGCCAGCTTGTAGACTCATGAATCACTGTGTTGCTTAATCTTGCAACCATTTGCTCAAATTAGGTACCAGTTCCTGGTCATACACTTCATTCAGGACCAAGGTTGTAAATGTAAACCCTTTGAGTGATTCAAAGAAATGTTTCCTTTACAGCACATCATCCAAAGTCCTTAATAAAACTCTAATACATCCAGAACTCTGCTGCACACCTTCTCACCCACACCTGATCCCGTGAACACATCGCCCCTGTCCTGAAAAAAAGCTCCACCGGCCCCCTCAACCACCAGGCCCCTTCCTACCTCACTGATCTCCTCCACCGTCACACTCCTTCCCCTAGGCTCTGTACCTCTTGTCTCCCCCACACAGATCCAAACACCGGACCTGGGGGGGACAGAGCCTTCTCCATAGCTGCCCCCTCCCTCTGAAACTCACTTTCCACACATATTAAACTCTGCACTGACCCATCCACATTCAAATCATTACTCAAGACTCACCTCTTCAAAAGAGCTTTTAATGTGTGATTGTGATTTGTGTTCTGTTAATGTGAGGCTTATATGTTGTTGTCTATATGACCTGTGTGTAATGTCGCAATGTTTGTTGGTTTGTTCTTACTGTGTTGTCTTTCTTTCTTTTTTTAAATAAATGAACACTGTCTTTGAGTTCCTGAAAAGAGTTTCATAAATAACATGTATAATTATTTTTATTATACTGAAGCAAAGCTGGTGTGCTGTAGAATTTAAAGACGAGGGACGTATGAGAGACATAAAAAGAAGAATAGTTGAAGTCTAAGAAGCAGGTTGAGGTATTGTCACTTTTTAGAGTAAGAATTAAGTAAGAACAAACACCCACCAAACACTGGCTCTATCTTTCATAAAACATTGACAGGTGTACATGTTTCCCTCCACCAGCCCAAGTTTCCAATGAGACTTCTCCTACAACTACGAGGAGAAGTACCTATAAAGTATCTATATGTATATTGTTTTTGTTAATGCCTGAAACCGCCACAGGAAAGGTGTCACACGAGGAGTTTTGGAGCATACTGCAAAAACAGCGTCTTCTTTTTTTGTACACTTTCCCTGGCAAAGATTCTGGATGAGTGGTAAAGTGAATGGCTCTTAAAGAGGTCAAAAAACACCAGCAACACTTGTATTGTGAAGATCAACTTTAATAACTTTATTGGACCGGCTCGTTTTCGGCTTGTGGCCTTCATCAGGGTCAGGGTCAAGAATTTTGTTGTTCTTACAAATATCACCTGTATGAATGAGGTTTTAGATTTTCACTTAGGCGTAGCGCTTCAAAACAAGTAAACCGATCTTGATGTGTAAAGATGGTGGTGTTCTCCTTTATTTTGTTGCTTCCCCCCCCCCCCCAAAAAAATATTTCACTGTTGATTTTGGGAAAAGATAAGAGAGTGAACAGCTGTGTTTGGATCAGGACAGCCCGTGTACCACGCAGAGGACATCGCTAAACTCAACCATTAACAAGCAGCACTTAGAGACAGTAAAGCAGGTGATTTACAGTGTGCCTTTCTAATCCTCTGTGGCAATAAAGCGGTGGATTCAGCTGGAGCAAGATCTGAGAAAACACACCAGTGACGTAGATGACTTGATCAATCGAATTAAACTGAGTATATCAAACCTATACCTTATATTACTGTATATGCAGCATCTAACTTAATAAGCAGACACTGTGTTTTAAGAGTATGTTGTCAAATATAGTGAATAAAAAAACTAAATTCAGAGCGTGTTTTATTGACATTGCTCTCTGTAGTTCAGGCCTAATGTTCAACAAACAGGAACTCTCACGACATCCTGCTGGACAGCTGAATGAGGAAACAACGTCTCAGGAGTTGGAAGGACTTGGCAAACACTGGCTACACCCAGAAGCACTTGAGCGCTCGCATGTTAAGTAAACTCTGAGACAAAGCATCAAAGTCAGTAAAGGCAGAGTGAGTAATTAAATAGATGCATTTTGCCTCTGCCGGGGACAGAAACTGACAGCCAGCTGCTGCTCGTCCATCACGCGAACGGTTTGTCATGAAGCAGGACTTGTTATTTTACAGGGAGGAAAATCAATGAGATGTACGCTTCTGCTAATAAAATGGACACGTTGGAGAGTACGACAGGAGCCTTCAGGGGCACAGGGGCGTGCGGCATACTCACGGTCGACTGGCAATCGTCCCTCTCCCTGACGTCAAACAAAACGGCATCTTTGATGAAAACGGCCACAGCCTTCAAAATAAAAGCCACAAAGAGGTTCATGTGGATGTAGTTTCTTGTGCAGTGCAGCTTCCTGTAAAACAGCACAGATGTAAAATCAAGAAAATGTAAACTTTCCAATTCGATCCCATCCAAGGCACATTTTAAAAGTTTACCGAAGTGCTGCACAGTTTATAAAAAAAGCAGAACATTTCAAACAAAGTCCAATACTTAGAACTCATAACACATAAACACAAAAACACATAACACTGATACATGAGTGTAAATAAAGAAAATGAAAAGAGATATAAAGACTTTTATAAGTATCCTTGGATCAAGTTTGTTTCTATGACAGGAATGCAATACATATTCGGAAAATACTCAGAAACCTGACCTCTTTTAAAGCAGCACACATCGGAGTTGAACACTCAATATAAGCTGAGCTACTTGTCGAAATATTAAGCAGCATGTAAACCCTTCAGATGTCAGAAAAGCTTAATGCAGGTTTATGAAATGATCTAGTTAAGGATTCATCCAATAAATGTGAGACACATTCAGCACAGAGATAAACTGGAACAGCTCATAAGGGCTTTATAGAGAAAATGTCACATTTGTAAATTCTCTCTTCTGGGTGTTCTCAGACAAATACCTTCCGTGTGAGCTTATCATTAAGGGGTTAAATAGTGTAAACCAATCAGGGCGGGTGCAATGACACACAGAATCAACCAGCTGCCTCAACGCCGCGTGCTGCAGCCGAACGTAAACAGCGTAAACAGAAGACCCTCCTCACATCCTGTGTCACTGCTCCACAGTCCAAATCATTAACATTTCATCAGCCTGACAAGTAAACACATTGCTTTGGCTGTTAGGCTGTAACACACAAATACTCCAAATGCAATCTCTCCCAACTGAGCAGACCCGGTTGTTTATTAGGAGCAATACAAACCAGCCTTTTAAACATGTACTTAAGATCAGTGCTGTGTCATGCCAGCATGCACAAAAACACCTTCACTCTCCACTAGAGGACTGGAGGTCAGAAACAGAACATGCTGTGAACAGCAGCAGCTTGGCAAAGTGACTTTAGTGCTCCTTGCAGTCAATGGCTTTGTTTGAGAAGTTTTGCAACAGCTGATAATGTCAAATATGTCAAATCTTGCCTCATAAAATCTAGTAGAGTAACATTACTCTGTGAAAAACACTGTAAAGCCTCTATAAAAGGCAGGAAATATGGTGTGAGATGAGAGGACATCAGGGCTTTATCACTCTAAATGATGGGAAAAAGGTGTTTGATTGTCCTTACACAGGGACATTAAGTAGCATTTGATGGACCTGCTTACCGAAAGAGACACAGTATGATGATGGCGATCATCAGAGATATGAGAGACACACTGTGACCGATGGTGTAACCCACTTTGATAGCGTTGAAGAACTCTCCCTGCAGAGAAAAAACAACGACACTCAGTTACACTCAAGGAATACGTTTGATCTGGAATATACTGTAAGTCTTCAATAAAAGTAGCAACAGAGGAAAGGAGGAGTTTGAATCCTTGCTGCTTCACTGACCGTATTCTCCATGGTGTTGTTGGGATTGTATTCACAGTCTAATATGTAGGAGTCTATACTGATTGGAGTCCAGCCATCCTCAGTGCAAGTCTTTGACAGGTTACCTAATGAGCAGAGGGGAAGAGGGAATATTCAACATTACTCTTGCTGCCTTCTGTGGGGGACCCAGTGTATGTTAATTAAAAGAAATGTTTTCTTATATAGTGTGAATGTGTTTGTTGTGGGTTCCAAGAGGATTTGGATTGAGCCACAAGGCAAAACTTCTCCTACATTTAATCACATTTAATGATGTCAAGCAGAGATGAATGAGTCTCACTGGAATACTTCATGAAACTAAAAGGAAATGAAAGGAGTGACTGAAGGGGATCAGTCGTCCCACTGCTCAGAGATGCCGGGACCGTTCCCATGTGTATACGGCTCCATCTGTGTCATAATTAATCTACACACACATTTATACACGTACACACAACCAGGAGGCCAACAGTGGAGCGGAGTGATATTTTTACTCTGTCCTATCCATGGGGGCAGATGTCAAAGGTCGAGGAGCATTGGACTGACCATAAAGAGAAGACGGAGCTTTCATCTCAGAGAAGATTATAGGAGCAGCGTAGAGCTCTGTATGTGAAGGAACAGTGAGAAAGAGCTCTGTAGAGCACAGTGCAGTGCAGTAAAGTAGAGGTGAAGAAAAGAGTATACTCAACCAAAGTCCTCTAAAGTTAAGTTTTATAGACCAGTAGAGCTCACTTAGCGTACAGTTCAGAAGAGTACAATTAGTACAAAGAGTAGAGCTCCGTATAGCTAAGTCAAGTGCAACAGAGCTCACCAGAGTATGTAGTGCAGTTTTCTGTCCAACAGCAAACTTCAAAAACTACAGCTCATTACAGACCAGTAGTGAAGAGCTGTTCATTTAAGCGTTGTGTATCCTGCTAGAGCTCAGTGTAAGTACGCTTACAGCTCATTGGCTGGAACTGAGCTCTTTAGAGTTAAGAAGAAAGTTGTATTGGAAAATCCAGTACACTAAAGCTCACCAGAGTACATAATAGTAAAGCACCATAGCTCACCAGTGTACAGATCAGAACAGTACTACTTCTACTATATGCTAAAGTATTCTAAAGTGTTAACAGAGTATGAAATAGTAGAGCTCTGTAAAGCTTGGTCGAGTACAGTGGACTGCAGCTCAGTGCAATAGTGCTTTGAAGAGCTCAGTAGAGAATAGCAGATCAGCATTGTGTAATGGTCAGTATAGAAGAGCTTGTTGGAGTACAATGGAGTTTAGTAAACTAAAGCAGATGGGAAAAGAGTAGAGCTCTGTAGAGTTTTGTACTCTGTAGAGTCCTGTAAACGATAGGGTTTTTAGTAATGAAAACCTCTGAAGAGCTCAGTAGACAGAGTAGACTGGAATATGTTAAGGTACATTAGAAAAGAGTTTCATATAGAAGAAAAGACAAGAGCATCATAGAGCTCTTTAGAGGGTTAGAGCTTTGAAGATGAATGTTTTACAAGTTCTTTAAAGCACCGTATTCTTAGGCTCTAAGCTCGAAGTTTCTTGAGTTCTGCAGAGTAGAGTTGGGTTGAGCTGAGTAAAGTTACAAAGCGTGTTGTTGATGTTGGGTGCCATGGAGTAGAATACAAAGAAACGAATAGCACAGATTGAAAACAAGTAAACAGATCAGTCGTTTTTTTTAAATATTCAAGTCTTGTCTTACACTTTCTTCTTTGTATTTATAAGTAAATAAGAGCTGCAGAGTAGGAACATTTCAAAGAAAACCAATCTATTAAAGTCATTTAGGAAACATCTAAATCAGAGTAGTGCTCATACTATCATACTCTCTGCCAAGCTTGTAAGAGTAAGTACAGCTTTTTATAGTAAATGTGCATCACTTAAGACATTAAAACATTCAATGTTGCTTCTGTTACCCTCTCTCTCTTATTGTGGCTCTTGTTCTGTCTAATATACCTTTTTACTTAAGACTCAAATGCAAGAAATGGTCACAAAATCATTTAGAAGATGATGGTATGCAATGTTGAGTGGATTGAGTGGACACAAGTGATTACAAATAATGCACACTATGCATAATAAAATCCTTATTCCTGTAAAAAGCTCTTTAACAAACGAACATAAAACTTTCTTTAAAAGTGCCACATGTGCACATCTGTTGATGCATTCGAGGTTTTGGACTTTTGTTGAGGAACAGAAGGAAATGAAAGTTCAAATTTGACACTTATCATAATCAGATTGACAGCTGTTCTAACTAAATACATGAGGCTTATCTAATCCTGTGATCAGCACGAGGCACACATTGACTCCTCTGTGATTCAGTTCAGTCTCTTGTGTAATATTTATTTGTCGCATTTCCTCACCTCTATCCTCTCAGTAAAGAAAAGAAGCTGCGTGAGTTGGCATCAATTTAATCCCTGCCCTGAATTGTGCTCTATTCATCAAAATGTAGGACATTCCTCACATTTCCCAACCGTTTCGCTCCACAGACGCTATCAAATCAAGACCGAGTTGGGAAATTACAAGCGATCCAGAGTCTTGGAGTGTGTTTGCCATTTAAATATGGTCGCCTCACAAATACTGAGTGCGCACTGCAGAGAAGACGGAGGCTTAGCTTCCTCAAACAACATGACAAGACACAATGGTGCTGATAAGCCCCTGCTGTTTCAGCCCATGCCACCGCTGGATTTGGCTTGTTTGAGGGATTGCCAGAAGAATGCTTTCATCATCCCCCAAAACATGACTGCAAGGATTTTTAGCGACATGCACAACAAGAAGGAGAGCTGAAAACAAGTTAATCACCCCTGCATTGTTTTAATTTCAAGGATTTTTTAAAGCTTGACTTTTTCTGAATGTGTTGCATTTGTCTGAGTCTAATTATACCTTCGAGTAAGCTCCGTATTAGCATGCTATGATTAGCTTCGGATAAACTGAATATAAAGGCATGAGGGTGAAATCCTCCAGCACGCTGTCACTCTCAGCCTGCCAGAGGCCGAGTCTCAGTGTTGTTGAAAGAGATGGATGACTGCGTGTTTGTGTTAGACCTACTAGGTAAAAAGTTCATGAGAATGGCAAACTCTATCTCAACTAAATTTATGACTCGCCTTTAATCTCTGTGGCGCCGTGTTTCGTCATGCTTGTTTGTGTGTGTGTGTGTGTGTGTGTGTGTGTGTGTGTGTGTGTAAGGCTTATAAAAATGAATGGCTCTGCATGTGTCAATAACTTGAGTCTTTTGCAATTCACTGAAAGTGAACACATTTGAAAAGAGGCTAAATTTACTTTTTTGATACTGTGACACATTCACAAAAAGGGCAACTTCTTAAAAATATATATTTCTCTGACCTCCTGGAGTTGTGAAACCTTTGAAAATGTATTGAATACACTAGAAAAAAGTGCAGTGGTCAGGCTACACAAATGAGCCTTATTTCCTCGTTTCTGAGAGACTACGAGGTTCTCATCGGACAGGTAAAGTGATTTACAATGACCTGAGAGCAGAGCAGGTTTAACCAGCTGATTTATTGATTTATTGAATAATTGATAGAATGCTCTTCAAAGTTAAGTGTTAGATCACCTTTAATCCTGCCGTTTTATTTTAAAGCTTGTTTGCCTCATCTTGGTCCTTGGTCAAAGGTTTTTTTCCAAACTTTTTTCCCTTTAACCCCATAAATCCTGTGATTCTTCACAGGAGCCCCCCCCCCCCTTTTCCCTTGAGGGCTCTCCTCTCTTAGGTCACTCTATCTCCCATCTGGGTCACATCACAGCTTCCCAGAAAACCTTTCTGCTCAACACTGAGCCTCCAGATTAAACTGATAAATCACTGGTTGTAGTCCCTCTCATGACCTAAATATGATGGGGGGGGGGGATCTAAATAACAGGGCCAGGAACCTCCTCATCATTTCTGTTGTGACACTCAGGTTTGTAAATCACTGCAGTCATGCACGACCCCAAATCTGTTTTCAAATTTACCTTCCAGCAAACATGACTGATCAATGACGGAGTGAGTTTCAGAAGCTTTGTGCAGGGAAAATGTCCTCAATATATCAGGTACCATGCACACTAAAATGTAGGGTTAAATATGAAACAATGGTTCCTTGAATTACACAATGAATAATGAATTCATTGTACACAAAAGCTCTAATAATTATTTTCTGGCCACTTGTAAGACATGTGGTACACCTAAAGCACATCTTTGGATGTATTGGCATTCTATAATGTTACTAAGTAAACCAAACACATGAGCAAACAGGTTTATATATAAGATAATCTATGTTCTTAGGGTTTTATGTTCCTACACATTTAAAATTGTCTGAATAGGATGCTTTAAGACAAACTTTCAAAGGGTTTTTATATTCTCAGCCATGTTCTTCTTTCAAGAGGTCAAATGTTCAGTGTATGTTTCTGCTCAAATGTTGACATCACTCTCCCACAGCTTAGATACTATAATGTTATGTTCCTTAAAACCTATACCCACAAATCTGTGGAAGAGGCAGTTTTTGACATTATTTGTATCTTCATATAATTCCACTGCTTTAACAGCATCTGAAAAATCTAACTCGTTTAGTTGTTGAGATTTTAAAATAGGCCTTATCGATCTATTACAGTATTAGTGGATATATGACTCAGATACCAAAGGACTGACCCCTATTTATGCAAACATTAAGCATACAGGTGAAATTAAGTTTCTGGCTCCTTAAATAATAGAAGTAATGTTGGTCCAAAGTTGAATCCTTTCATTTTTATTTTTGTTTCCATCTTACATTGTCAGAAACATACGGTTAAATGCTACTACGGCAGCTAGTGGCTAACTTAATCTGTTTGCAGTTTGGTGCTACAAGCAGAATTAAGCTACACCTGGTTAACCCGTTTTCTTTTCCAGGTTGATCAAAAACCATCTTTGCCGCAGCACCAAGCATCTGATTAAGACAAACAAGATCTGTTAAAGGGTAACAGATGGATTATAAGTCAAGGTGACAGTATTTTACAACACAGGAGGAGATCTGTGTACTTAGTTCAACAAAGTTTATCTTTTTTAAAATCTGCTATCCACACATTTACACGATATTCATAAGGTGAGCGTTTGTGGCCGAGAAAACCAAAACAACATGC